TGGCTCAAGTGGTAGAATGCTAGTCTTGAGCTGAAGAGCTGAGGGACAGCGTCCAGGTCCCAATACAAGCCCCACAACCAACAACAACAACAACAAACTCTCAGGAAAAGGCCCTGAGTTCAAGCCCCATGACTGACAGAAGAAGAAGGAGGAGGAAGAAGAAGAGAATGAGGAGGAGGAAGAACAGGTGGAGGAGGAGGAGAAGTAGTATTAGTTAGGGAACAATGCCAATTTTTGTTATCTGGTACAACATGAACATATAAATCACTCAAAATTATTTACAAAATGTATATACTTTTTACTGGTGGGGGTGGTACTGAGCTTTGTACTTAGGACCTTAGGTTTGCTAAGAAGCCTCATCTCCAACTCTACTTTCAAAACCCTTGAAGAATATTCCATGGGCTACATAGCAAGACCTTGTCTCAAAGGGAAAAAAAAAGATATTACATGGAGACCTGGAACAACTATATTAAGATTCTTGACAAACAATTACATTCATTTCCAGCAATACTCAGCAGGAAGCTGTGCTTGGCAGATTGTTACAAAGAAGTTCACAATTCAGAAGCTGGGCACTGGTGGCCCATGCCTATAATCCTAGCTGCTCAAGAGGATGGGATCTGAGGATCATGGTTTGAAGCCAGCCTGAATAGACAAAATCTGAGAGACTTTTATCTCAAATTAACCACCAAAAAGCCAGAAATGGAGCTTCTGTGTTCAAGCCTTAGTATTGGCAGAAAGGAAGGAATGAACAAAGGAAGGAGAGAGAGAGAGAGAGAGAGAGAGAGAAGAGAGAGAGAGGTTCACAGATTTGAGTCTAGTTGTTAATTAGTCTCTCACTAATCTTCCCAATCTCTCATTTCTTCGAAAATTTAAGACTTGGAATCTGATTAATTATTTTTTCATTAATCTTTCTAGGCTTTTAAGTTACTGGATAAAGTCCACTGACTTTATTGGCATCTATATTTTATAGGCAATCTGTAAGCTTGCCTAGTGAATGCAAGCACTGCAGGATAAGAAAATACTTTTTTTTGGCAGGGGAGGGCTTGAACTCTGGGTGCGAGCACTGTCCCTGAGCTCTTAGTTCAAGGCTAGTGCTCTACAACTTTGAGTGGCACTTTGAGTACCACTTCCAGTTTTCTGGTGGGTAATTGAAGATAACAGCTTCATGGACTTTCCTGCCCTTACTGGCTTTGAACTGCGATCCTCAGATCTCAGCCTCCTGAATAGCTAGGATTACAGGCTTGAGCCACCTGTGCCCAGCCAAGGGAAAGACTTTTGATCACCATTTTCCTGCTCTACCTGAAGGGAGAGAGGAAGCCTTGCAAGGATATAGTTAATAACACTGACCCAACTCAGTGAAACCGCAGCAGGTCTGTATGTGCCTGCACGCTGGAATCAAAGGAGCTTTTAAAACCAATGCTGTCTGGTGCCCACGCCCAGAGAGTCAGTTGTACTGGTCTGGGATGTGGCCTGGCATGTGAGGTTTTAATGCACCTGGTGTATACAACTTGAGAAGCATTCTGCTCAAAGGCTTTAATGATTATTATGGATAGCTTAATCGGTATGACTTATTTAAGAGCATCAATTATTCATTGTCCTCTTTTTCCTTATCTTTTCCTTTCTTCTTTCTTCCTTTCTTTTTTTCTTCTTTTCTTCCTTCCTTCCTTCCTTCCTTCCTTTCTTTCTTTCCTTTCTTTCTTTCTTTCCTTTCTGTCTGTCTATCTGTCTTTGGAGAGGAGGTTATTGTTGTTTTAGCTTCCAGGATTTTTTTTTGAAATAGGATCTCACTATATAGCTCTGGCTAGCTCAAACTCTTGCTTTTAATTTTAATTTTATTGTCAGAGTGATGTACATAGGGGTTACAGTTACTCAAGTAAGATAGTGAGTACATTTCTTGTCAAACTTGTTACCTTCTTAGCTCAAACTCTTGATTTTACTGCCTCAACCTTCCAAATGCTGCTATTAGAAAGGCTTGCACCACCATGCCTGGATAACTGTCTCTGGAAGTAATTCTTAGATAATCTACTCTTATCCTAACATCCCTGAATGGAAGGGCACCTTAAATGTTTCCTACTACCCAGAACACAACACAAAGTCAAGAGGTATTTCACTATTCCATTAACATTTATCCTAATCAAAAATCCTTTTCTAAAGTAGGATGCTTTGTAAGCTAAGTCTCTACATATTAAAGCTCATTTACTTCTACCTTTCTACTTGATAACTTAGTACTTTGCACAGTGTCTCCTTTTCTTGGTTCTGAGAATTTCTAAATGTTGGTGCTATAGATAAAGTTAAAGATAGCTACCTAAAATAAGATACAGCAAATGTCATTTCAGCCATGACTAGTCACATAAAACTCACCTAATTTCATTCCCCCAATGTTTGGCTTTAAGTAAATGAACCCCCCTGGCCCAAAGGAGGCCTGTGAGGGCAGGGCTTACTTAGGAGAGCACCTGCTTAGGAAATGCCAGGCCCTGAGTTCAAACCCCAGTCAAAACAAGGAAAACAATCAGAAAACCAGTTATTCCTTTATAATTGCCCCCAGTTCTTCTTCATGTTTCTGGAATGAATCTAGAGATTCACATTCTTATCAGATAATCTGATCATGAGGACTGGGAATATAGCTAATTGGTAAAATGCTTGCCTAGCATGCATGAAGCCCTGGGTTCCATTTGTCAGTACCATATAAGCAGAAACAACTGAAAGTGGCACTATGGCTCAAGTGGTAGAGTGCTAGCCTTGAGCAAAAAGAAGCTTAAGGACAGTACCCATACCCTGAGTTTGAGTCCTAAGACACCCCCCCAAAAAAAATAATAATATGGAGCTGGGCGCTGGTGGCTCACACCTGTAATCCTAACTACTCAGGAGTCTGAGATTTGAGAATGGTGGTTCAAAGCCAGCCTGGGCAAGAAAGTCTGTGAGACTCTTATCTCCAATAAACCACCGGAAAACTGGATGTGGTGCTGTGGCTCAAGTGGTAGAGCTCTGGCCTTGAGCTGCAGAGCTGAGGGACAGCGCCCAGGCCCAGAGTTCATTCCCCACGACTGACCAAAAAAAAAAAAAGAAGAAGAAGAAGAAGAAGAACATAAACTGACAAAAAAGCAAAAGAAGATGAAGATGAAGACAAAGAAGAGGAAGAAGAAAAACCAAAGACCTCAACAAACAGGAGAGTCTTACTTTCTTTTTTAAAGAAGTACTTGGTCCTACAGGACTGTCCAATTTCAGTAGTGTACTTGAAGCTCGAGTACTTACATTTTCCAGGAGGCAGACAGCTGCAGGGTTCCCACAAAATGCCCTTGCTGTGAATGCGTCTGCAATGAAAATCGGGAGCTTCATCTTCCTCACTGCAGTTTTTCACGAGGTCTCACAATTGCCAGTGTTCTGCTTTACTTCTTGTTATGGCAAAAAATCAGAAAGTTAATGTTTTACTCAGTGTAGTGCAGCAATGAACAGGTCCAAGATACAAAGTCAAGCAATTATTCTAAAACACCAACATGGAAAGATAAGCAATCTCCTAGTCTAGAAGCCTCTACATTGCATTTGTTTTAAAATACTGGCTGAATGGAATGAGTTTTTCAAGTTTATATGAGCTTTTCATACCAAACCAAGAACTCAGCCTACTCACAATTATTTTCTTAGTTTTACCCTCTCTCCCTCCCTCCCTTTCCTCCTTATTTCCTTCCTCTCTTTCTTTGCCCCTACTGGTGCTTGAACTCTGGGCCTAGATGCTGTCCTTTAGCATTTCCACTTAGGGCTGGCACTTTACCACTTGAGCCATAGCTCCATTTCTGGTTGTATGGGTGGTTAATTGGGGATAAGAGTCTCATGGACTTTGCTGGCTGGCTTTGAACTGTGATCCTCAGATCTCAGCCTGCTCAATCATTAGGATGATAGGAGTGAGCCACCTGCGCCCTGCTTCTAATTGTAAAAATCTTGAAAAGTCAAAGTACTGACCCCTAATCCCACAAATAGAAAATAACATTCGTGTTTTAAATATAGGTTTTTAATCAGATTCTTGGGCTAACATACATTAGTTATACAAACAAGATCTTTTCTAAATATGTATTTTCTTTTCTTTAGGTAGTTGTATTTATTTTTCTGTAGGTAGTTGTACAAAGGTGCTGCTCTTCAACAGAGCAGTTTATGAATACATTCTCACCCCTCTCACCCACCAAAGAAGATTCTGTTGTGACATTTCCACACATGCTTATAATGTAACCTGATCAACCCTAGGTCTTCTACCCCTCTCCCCATCCCACTCCCCCTTTCCAGAACAATCTCAACAGGTTTCATTGTTGTATTTTCATACAAACTGTCTGACTGTATTCATCTTTGCTGCTATTCCTTCTGGTACACACCCTCCTCACCACTTTCCTGTCATTCCTGTTTTCATTTTGCATTAGTTATACTAAGTTGCTCTCAACCATGATGTTTCAGGACTTTCCTGTCATTCCTGTTTTCATTTTGCATTAGTTATACTAAGTTGCTCTCAACCATGATGTTTCAGGTGTGTACATTCCATACCTTACTAAGAACAACCATATTGCTTTCTCCCTGTCCATCCTCCAAAACCCTTTCAGAAAAATGTTTTCATGTTTTTGTTTTCATTGTTTTGGGCCACCCCCTCACTCCATTATGGGGCTTGAATTCTGCCTTTTTAGTCAAGGCTAGTGCTCTATTACTTTGAGCCACAGCTCCACTTCCAGTTTTTTGGTGGTTAATTTGAAACAAGAGTCTCATGGACTTTCCTGCCTGGGCTGACTTCAAACCGGGATCCTCAGACCTCAGCCTCCTGAGTAGCTAGGATTACAGGTGTGAGCCACCAGCTTTTGGCTTATTTGGAAATTGTAACAGTTATGATTACTTGGTGCTAGATTCCAAAGCTAGTTTTGTAGGGGCGAGAAGAATGTCACAGAAAGTTTGGTCCCTGAACTGTGTGCTAATTCACAAATAATGACAGCAGGATTTTAGAAAAAAAAAAAAATAAGTTTTATTGACTTGTCACACATAGGAGGAAAACATCACACTAAATATCAAAAGCTACCTCCCTTCCCTGTCCTTTACGGATTGAGGATTTTTAAGCAAAAGTCCAAGAAGTGAGTTCTAAGTGTTCAGAAACCATGACTAGAAGCCATGACTCAGTGCCGGATGATGATCTGAGGAGATCACTTATCTCCCGATTACTGGTGCCAGTTTTCCACGTTGTATGTCTTGTTGACGTTACTTTCTTACTTTCCTGTGTCAGCAAGCTAGGGAGCCAAAAAACTGCTAATCTTGAGTTCTAATCTTGAATTCCCCCCACAAGGAAGGAAAGGCAGAGAGAGAGAAAATTGTCAATTAAATGTGAATCATCACAAAAAGCAGGCTGGTTAGTAAAGCAAGTTAGTTTCTAGACTAAAACTACAACCATTTAAATGTCTCTTTTAAAATTTTCCTGCTGGCATTTTTTTCCCTCCTATTTCCATGGAAACAAGGGGCGTTATAAACATCTGTCCGCTTCCTGCTGAAGTTGGGTGACGTCAGGGAAATTTTCTGAAAAGTATATATACTTTGTCCTTGCCAGAATCTCTGTGTCTTTTAAAGCCCCACTGTGGTTTTGCATATAAGTATACTGAATGGCCAGGCAGGAAAGTATATATATATATTGACTATAACCCACATGATGGTCATCTCAAAATGCAAGGTAACTAATGAAACAAATTAGATACCATTTGGGATCTAGAGAAAAAGACTAGAAAATAGGCCTGTCAACCTAGACCCCGGCTGTCTAAAGTGGATACCTGATACTCTCATGCTAGCTTCAACCAAGTAGCTTTCTGCCTGATCTTTTCTATACTGGTTTCCACCAGAGAAGAAGTATTGATATAAGTACAACAGGACATGTTAGCAACTGCACACACCCCCCCTTGCTCAGCCTGCATGTAATCTAGGGCCATTCGATTATCCAGCATGACTTTGGCAAGAGAATCCAAGGAGTGATGTAGATCAGAAAGGGATAAAGCTGTTTCATTGGCTATAGTTATCAGAGTTTGGGAAAGGTTCTGAAGTACCCATTGATGGGCAGCCACTCCCCACCAGGGTAAAAAGGAATGACCAAAATTATACCATCTGGTACCTGGTACCTCTGGTACCTCTCTTGGTAAATCACGAGTCACTCTAGTCAAAAGCTTCAAAGGGCTTGCCCAATGAGAAGATTCATTTACAGAATGAATGGAGAATGGTGTAATGAGGGTACCCAGCAGACACTGAGTAGGGGTGGAAAAGTTTCTCAGGCAGTTTGTTGCCCAGGGGTGTCCACTAATTTGACAGACAAACACAAATCCTGAGGGGGCACAGAAAACCATTTCATCTTTAAAATACTTCAATGGATCTCTGGTGTGGAAGTATTCCCCGACTCGAAACCCTGTCCTTTCTATCCAAGGATGATTCTGGAAGGAGTAATCAGCTACTACTTTAAACTCCTCTGCAGAAAACCGAGTGTTTTTCTGGATACACATGGGTAACTGTCCTGACTTGGGAGGGGAGATCATTTCAAAATACTTGGGAATCCGAGTTTCCTTGCCATTGTCATCAATGTGGGTTATGTAGATGGCATTAGCTGCGATAAGTGGAAGAGTTAGACAGGGGACAGGGGACGAACCCTCAACTGGATAGTGTACTATCCGTACCCGGTACATAATAGTACGGGCCCTGAGGTCCAGTGTTGGTGTCCACACCCCATCTGGAACCTGAGTGAAATTAGTGACAGGGTGGACAAGAGGATCACTATGATCTACGACAGCTCGGGCTCTCGGGACACAGATCCAACAGTCTACTGCCTGCATGGAGGAAGCCAGTGACTGAGCAATACGGACCATCGAGTTGTCCTTCCATCCTGCAGAGAGGATACAAAGACAGAAACAAATTAGTAGGCTTCTGAGAACATTCATTGTACGTTTCTTCTCAATGGAAGCCTTTGGTATTCCAGGGGCTGGCTTTCCACTAGAGTTCTAGTTATGGCAGGATGTCTCCGTCTGAGCTTCTTGGCTTGTGCGGCGCATTCACAGCTGGACCCTGGGAGCTTCAGAGAGGTGTGAGCTGCCAGAGGCACTTTGGAAGTCCCTTTCTACTCTTCTTCTAGGTGTTCGGGCACTGCTCTTTCCAAGTGTTCAGAAGGACTTAAATCTCTTGTCTTGAAGGCAGGAAGAAGAATCTTCAGCTGGGCTGATGACCTGGAAGAAGCAAACTTATGGGTAGCAGTCAGTATTGGATTTATTGGTGGTATATACCGCTTTACCTTAAGTTTCTTCTTTTTGTTTATATTTTCACCATTTTTTTCAAGGGGCCAGAAGAGTTCACCAAATACTATTTCATGGGGGCTTAATAACTTCTCTCCATAAGTGGAGAAAGGTAACTGGCAATACCTTGTCCCATTTTAAATGGGTTTCTTGACATTGTTTTGGCTATTGTTCTCTTGAGCATATGATCCAGTTCTTTCAGCTTGTCCAGTAGATTGAGGGCTCTATGATGCATGTAATTGTCATCTGATGTCTAAGGCTTTACTTGCTTGTTGGCTAACTTCTGCTATGATGAAAAGTCCCTTGTCATTCTGGGTTGAAGGTGAGAGTCCATACCTTATTTATTTATTTATTTATTTGGTCATAGGGCTTGAACTTGGAGTCTGGGGGCTGTCCCTGAGCATTTTTGCTCAAGGCTAGCACTCTACCACTTGGAGCCATATCTCCACTTTGGTATTCTGGTGGATAGCTGGTGGTAAGAGTCTCATGGACTTTCCTGCCTGGGCTGGCTTTGAACTGAAATCCTTAGATTCAGCCTCCTGTGTAGCTAGAATTACAGGTGTGAGACATCAGTGCCCAGCTTTTTTTTTTTCTTAATGTAAGGTCTTTGTCACCTTTGATACTTTCTCAGTTTGGGTAGGGTAGACTTTGACTTACCCAAAAAAGGTATCAACTAGTATCAATAGACATTTGAAGTTGTCAGTATTCTGTAGCACTAAGGTCTACATTCAGTCTTTAAAAGGATGTTCTCCTGTGTATTTGGGTTCCTTTCTCTAAAAGTCTTTTTGTTCTACCTTACAATTATTCCAAGTGCATGAGTGATAGTTTTGAGTGACTGGTCATTCAGACTGTTATAGTTGAGGCTCCCATAGTTGAGGCAAGTTCTACTAATACATCATGACTACAATGTATTCCCTCATGCAAATGTTTTACTAGTTGCAGGACTGGTGCCTAGGGCACGAGTATAGACATGTTCCTGAATTCTAATCTTGGTTCCATTTACCCTGTAAATGCAGGGTAATTATAAATCTCCCTTGTCCAAAGAGCTTAGTCTCTAAGCCTACCCCTGGGCATGCCTGGAAACACTAGTACTAACTTTCTGGTAGTACTAACTTTCTGGAAACACTAGTACTAGCTTTCTGGTAGTCTAAGTTTGTTTGTTTTGGCTATAGACAACTGACAGTTGATTCTTGCTTGTCCATAGTGGTCATTTGGCTGCTGTGATAAAACAGGCCATTCATTAATAAACACCAGTTTGTTCTTTGAAAGTTTATATATTTAATCACATAGTGCTGGCACTCATAGTATAAATGAATGCTATTTTTTTCAATTAATGAAAAGAAACTGAGTTTAAAAAGGAATTAAATTGTAAGGAAAATGTTTTGTTTATTTGTTTGTCAGTCATGGGGCCTGAACTCTGGGCCTGGGCACTATCCCTCAGCTCTTCAGCTCAAGGCTGGCACTTTACTTGAGCCACAGAGCCACTTCCAGCTTTTTCTGCTTATGTGGTGCTGAGGAGTCGAACCCAAGGCCTCATGCATGCAAGGCAAGCACTCTACCACTGAGCCACCTTCCCAGCCCATGCAAAATGTTTTAAATCACAATTTGGACTAGGCTGGGTGTCAATGGCTCATGCTTGTAAGCCTAGCTACAGAGAGTAGAGATCTAAGGATTGCATTTTGAAACCAGCCAGGGCAGGAAAGTTTGTAAGACTCATTTCTTCAATTAACCATCAAAAAGCATGAAGTGAAGCTTTAGCTCAAGTAATAGAACAGCAGCCTTGAGCTAAAAAGCTAAAAGACAGCACTGAGTCTAAGCCTTAAGACCAACATTCACACACAAATTTGTGTGTGCACACAAGCACATGCAATAAAATTAATTTGTAAGCTATTTTCATCTAGCTGCACATATGCATTTATCAAGTTATATATGAGTATATGTAATCAACCACTACATATAAATAGATAGCTCAATACTTCATGTTTACTTTTACTTTCTGGACTTCAAAGCTCTGGAAAAACCTCTATGATTAGTCGTGAGGCCACAATGCTAAGTAAGTGGGGAGCCAGTCACAAAAGAACAAATATTCAATAATTCCCTCATATGAAGTATGTGTATTTTAATTTTTTCATTTATCTTTTTATTTATTGACCATGTGCTCCTTTACCTTTCTCACTCAAGACAGATACTCTACCACTTGAGCTAGTTCTCCATTTGGGGCTTTTTGATGGTTAATTGGAGATAAACGTCTTTCATGGGGCTGGGAATGTGGCCTAGTGGTAGAATGCTTACCTAGAATGCATGAAGTCCTGGGTTCAATTCCTCAAATCACATAAACAGAAAAACCTAAAAGTGGTGCTGTGGCTCAAGTGGTAAAGTGCTAGCTTTGAGCAAAATAGAACCTCAGGAACAGTGCCCAGGCCCTGAATTCAAGCCCTGGCAAAAGAAAAAAAAAGTCTCCCAGGCTGGTTTCAAATTAAGCTCTTCAGATCTCAGCTTTCTAAGTAGCTAGGATTATAGGCATGAACCACCAGTGCCCAGCCATATCAAATAAAGTAGTCAAAAATCATAGAAGCAAGCTGGGTATTGTGGTACATACTTGAAATTCCAGGACTCTGAAGGCTGAGGAAGGAGGATTAAACATTCAAGGCCTATGTAAACTAAATAATGAGACTCCATAAGATCTAACAACAACAAATATCCGAAATGGAGATATGGGAACGGGTGCTGTAGCTCAAGTGGTAGAGCACTAGCCTTGAGCTGAAGAGCTGAGGGACAGCGTTCAGAGTTCAAGCCCCATGACCAACAAAACAAAAAACAAACAAAAAAAAAACCAGAAATGGAGATATGAATCTGCCTTCTCAGTGATTACTTTAAATGAGTAAAAGCTCCAATTAAAGTGCAGAGATTAGAATGCTTCTTTTGTGTTTTTTATTGTTTGAATGCAGGTTTTTACATAGCCCACTTCAACTCCTGCCTCGGCCTCCCTGTTTCTGTGATTAAAATCATATACCATGATGCCTAGGTAAGAATGAATTTTGAAAATAAATCTAACCCAATCATTCTTACAAAAGACAAAACAGTTTTAAAGACTCAAATAGGTTAAAAATTAAAACAAGAAAGAAAGAAAGAAGGAAGGGAGGAAGGGAGGGAGAGAAGGAGGGAGGGGCCATACAAACTGCCAAGCATGGTGACACATAACTACAATCCCAGCACTTGGGAGGTAGAAGCAGGAGGATTTGAAGTTCAAGGCCAGTCTAGGCTACAGTCTAAAGTCAGTCTGGACTACATAGTGAGACCCTAACTCAAAACAAACAAACAAACCAAAAAACAAAACAAAACAGGAGTGTTAAAGAAGGCAAAGATACGCCATACAAAGAGTAACTGAAAGAGAGCTAGGCTTACTATGCCCAGAAATTCCTGAGCTGGCAACATTTCCCAATGTTCCCTAAAGCCTCTAGAGTTATATTCTGTGTCCATAACTCCAGAAACTATAATTCCAGAGTCCTCTATCGTCCTTGGGCATTACATGATCAAACCTGATGTAACCTTCAAGTAGGATCAAGGAGCCCAGCCATGGATGGTGAAAGATTTCCCTAGTACAGTCTCCTGGATGTCCAGAAAGTAAATGACTGGAGTAAAACCAGCCAGGAAAATCGAAACAAGCATTTGTAGCAAGTTGTAATCATTGACTGCAGCAACATATTGATCAGAGGAAATAACTGAATTGGGAAAGGTATTTTATATTGAACCCTAATTTGAATCTGACTATAAATACTTGAAGGTATTTAGGCCTGAGTCCTCAGAGGGGGAGGAGGAGCGACAGGAGGTGGGGGAGGAGGAAGGGAGGGACCTATAGAATGATCCACCACAGGAGTGGAGGCAACATATTCTTCTCAAGGTCATGTGGAATATTCTCCAGGAGAGGACAATGTTAATTCATCAGTTGTAACAAGTGTGTCACTGATATAAGATAGTGACAGCATGAAGCTGAGTTCAAGCCTGCCTATCAGGTAGTTCCCCCCCCCCCCCAAAAAAAAGAACAAACACTCAAGAAACTTGAGAGGGCTGGGAAGGTGGCTCAGTGGTAGAGCGCTTGCCTTGCATGCATGAGGCCTTGGGTTCGATTCCTCAGCACCACATAAGCAAAAAGAAAAAAGCCAGAAGTGGCGTTGTAGCTCAAGTGGTAGAGTGCTAGCCTTGAGCTGAAGAGCTGAGGGACAGCGCCCAGGCCCAGAGTTCAGGCCCCACTATCGGACCAAAAAAAAAAAAGAAACTTGAGGAAGGATGATTATGTCAAGGGAGATCAATGCTTTTTAAAGACAGTAGATATGTATGATATAAATCAAAGAATAAGCAGTTCACAAAGCCCTACTAAGTCAATATTTTGTGTTATAAAACCCATTAAATACCTTAATTAGACATAGTTTTAGTAAACTGGCGTGGGTTTTGATTTGTTTCTGATATAGTGAAAATGATTGTGCTAAGTTGGTCTTTATGGTGCTATACAGTGCCATAGGGGTCTATGAACAAATATCATAAACCAGTTTTTTGTAAATGCACCTCCCTCCCTCCCCCAGTAATCTTCAGTCTCTTTCAATTTCTTTCTCTTTCACTTAGGCTCTGCATGGAATTTTCCTCTCCTCTGCATCCCAGTGTAGCACAAGATCACATGTTCAAAGGCTTGTTTTCCTCTGGGATGTATGGGTACTTGTATTTCCCTCTCCTTTTTCATCTCTTCTCTCATTATGGCCCCTAACAAGATCCTCTCCAGGGTCCCTCTGATCTCTATGCTAATAGGAAAGCACAGAAAGACCAAAAGAAATACAAAGAGAGAGGGGGGGAAAATCCTGAAAGCAGCTGGGAGTCCTTAGTTCAAGCCATCTCTATGGAAACAATTCCTCAGAGATTGGTCTGGAAACAATTCTATAGGGCTCACTGGGGCAGCAGTGAGCCAATCTAATCAAGCCTTACATGGTCAGGGTTCAATTTGCAAATGGGAATAGTTGTCTTTTTTATTTTGTGTAGAAAAGTAGTGAAAGAGGAAGCAAAATAAAAATAATTTACCATTACATAATATATTTTAAACTCAAATTTCCCTATTTGCTGTAACAATAAAAAGACAAAAGGAATGCATAGACTAATTCCATGACCTTCTGAATCTTCACTCAGGCAGAGTGCCCAAGACAAAGACATTAAGACCAGAATCCTGCATAAGAAACCACAGCTCAATGGTGAAAAGTCATTCATGTCATTAGGATGATTTTAAGATTATGGTTCATAACTACACCCAACGCGTGGAAAGAATTCCAGATTCAATCAGGCAGCAAGCAGGTTATTTGTATTCCTACAATGCGTAAAAGGATTACAAAATTCTTCCCACCAAATCAGGTTGAAAGACTGAAAAGATAAAGTAACCATGTAATTTAAGCCCATAGAGAGGAATCCATCTGAAGAGTAGGAGCTTGGAGTTTTACTACTACAGAATTTTTTTTTTAGGTTTTTGTTTTGTTTTGTTGGTTTTTTTTGGGGGGTCTGGTCGTGGGGCCTGAACTCTGGGCCTGGGCGCTGTCCCTCAGCAATTCAGCTCAAGGCTAGCACTCTACCACTTGAGCCACAGCACCACTTCCAGCTTTTTTCTTTTTGCTTATGTGGTGCTGAGGAATCGAACCAGGGCCTCAGGCATGCAAGGCAAGCACTCTACCATTGAGTCACCTTCCCAGTCCAGTATTTTTTTTAAGAGTAAAAAAATTGGTGGAGAGTGGTTGCAGTCAGTGATATCAAGACAACTAAGTGTCAGGCCAATAAACTAGTGTCTATACATCTCCTGAGATTGTAAAGTCAGGGATAGTTGTTAGGAAAAGTAACTGCTTTGCCTAAAATGATGTCTGTCCCCTCAATACACAAGTATTATAACCATAACTTTTATACTGGTGTGAAACTTTGTCCTTTGAGGTAAAAATTGTTTGGGTTCCAATCCTAGCTTTGTTACTGGACACTTTTCTGGAACTAGGCATCTGTAAAATAAAGATAATTATTTTTCAGAGCAAGTACTCAATAAATGTGAGCTGTAGTCACCGCAACATTCTTTCTTGTAAAGATCATCAAACTCCCTCCAATGGTCTCCAGAATAGCCATGAAATGGAAGTTTCCATTGCCTGAAGGTAATAACTGACTTCTGTCTCCATCATAGACAAGAATTACCCATCGTCTTTGAGAGAGTATACAATCTACATAACAGCCTTCACCTTCTGCTCCACTCCATCGCTAATGTACTTCCTAATGTCCTAAATCTTTGGGCTGGACACTGAGGGTTGATTACAACCTACCTTCATCCACCTTGACAACCCTAACACATCCTAGGGGACATACTCAACTTTGGTTAACATCGTCTCTCCCTGGAAGTGCTGGTACCTTCCTACCTCAGCACGTTTAACTTGTCTCCATGTTTTACACTTCTTACAAGTATTGCCCTCCAACCCTCCCACAGAAATTCGGCTTACACTTGTTTTAAAATCTAACAAAACCTAAAAGCCGATAATGTGTCATGAGGAATTGTGGTGACACGACAGAACCCAAAGACTGTCTATTGTCACTAGTAAGGGCAATTCTCCGGGTTGTAAGGCTCTATTTAGGAAATAACCCAAATGCCTGGTGCCATGAGCCGTTGGTCAGTCGCTGATGTTTTAACACATAGAAGAAGAAAAAAAAGACAGGGAGAGATGTGTAGACCCAAAAAAAAGAGACATGGGGGCTGGGAAGGTGGCTCAGTGGTAGAGTGCTTGCCTTGCATGCAGGAAGCCCTGGGTTCGATTCCTCAGTGCCACATAAATACAAAAAGCCAGAAGTGGTGCTGTGTCTCAAGTGGTAGAGTGCTAGCCTTGAGCAAAAGCAGCTCAGGGATAGCGCCTAGGCCCTGAGTTCAAGTCCCAGGACTGGCCAAAAAAAAAAAAAAAGTCCTGCACCAGGCACTGGTGCTACACCAGTGGGGACTGAGACCCCTAGCTCCAAGAGAGTGGGGTCAGGGGAGAGAAGGAAACCCATCCTGATGGACTCCATGTGCCTTGGCAGCCGAGACACTGCATATATTAGATATGCTTTATATATATTTATATATAAATATATTGCACGCTATGTTATATACTGTATTACATATTTTGCACATGAAACATGTCATACACATATGCATATATTGTTATGTGTGTGTGCATATTACGTGTGTGTGTGTATACACACACACACACACACACACACACACACACACACACTCGCAGGGTAGGGGCGGGGCCCCGGCCCGGGTTTGTACTGAGAAGAGCAGGACAGAACTTTTTCCAAACTGCGACGCCACAGTGTTTTCAGAACTCACATCCTTCCGGAGACGGCAGGAAGGTGAGAGCTCTGAAAATGGGATAGTGGTAAGTAAGAAGAAGACGGATCGTCCGCCCCGTTCAGTCGTCTGCAGGAGGGGTGGAGGGAGGAGGCGGCGGGCGGGAGGGGGGCGGGGCGGGAATCAGCCTGGCAGCGCGCAAGCGCACTTCATCCAGCCCGGGCTGAGGCGGACTCGAGCCTCTCCTCTCGCGAGAGCAGGGCGGCCCGGCTCCAGCGCTCTCGCCCCGCCCCCCCCCCCCCCCCCCCCCCCCCCCCCGCCGTCGGCTGCGCAGCTTCCTCAGCGGTTGCCGCCGCCGAAGACGGTTGGAAAAACCGTTGTACGGAGCGCTGCCCTGAGGCGGAGGGTTTGTCCGGCTCCTCGTCGGACCCCGCGAGCCCGGAGTCGGTGTTTCTATCGCCCGACAGGGTATCTGAAGTAAAGAGGGGGTAGGTTGGGCTGGCGGTGTCCGGCGCGGAGTCGGGAGCAGGACGGCCGGGAGGGTAGCGGGGTGCGGCGGTGGCCGCTCGGAGGCGGCCGGGCCGGGCCGCGCGCGCCGCGCCCCCCGCGCGCCCTCCCCCTCGGAGGAGGGAGGACGACGTCCGGACCCGGAGTGTGCGGGGGGGGGGGCTACATTTTCTCCGCTTTCCCTGCCGGCCCGGCCACCGCCATTTTGGGCCCGGCGGCGCGGACGACCTCCTTCCCGCCCTTCCCGGCTCTCCGTACTTGGTGGTCCCCGTTCCCCTCCCCCGAGCGTCGGAAGGCCGGCGGCGGGGCGGGGGCGGCCGGCGCTCCGGGGCGGGCTGAGGGCGGGAGTGAGGCGTGCAGGGCCAAGGCCGGGCGGCCGGGTGCGGGGACGGAGTGGGGCGGGCGGGGGGGACTCGGGGCCGCTCGCACGGGCCTGGCCTCCCCCCCCCCCCGCGGCCTCCCCTTCCCTCGGCAGGGCTACCTGGGCTGGCAGGACTGCGAGTGACTTCTGACGCAGATTCCCGAGATGAGAGAGGCTGGAGCTGGGGGAGGAAAGCCAATGGCGACGGAGGCTCTCGACTCCCCAATCCAGGACAAAGGAGGCAGCCGAGCCCTTTGTAACTCCGCCGCCCGGCGGCGAAGGTTTTTAAGCCCGGCGCGGCCGCGGCGGGGCGGGCGGGGGAGGGGGCGCGCTCTGCCTAGAGCTCGGGTCTCTGGGGCAGCTAGATAACAGGAAAAGCCTCTTCCGGGAGGAGTACGGGACGCTTAGCCGGCCCTTAGATTCCAGATTTGGAACTTCGAGCAAACGAGTACGTACTCCCCTGCAAGGGCGTGCTGTGTTTTTGTTGGTTGGTTTGACCTCGCGGTGGAAACATTTTTTTAAAAGGCAGCCCGTTTCCGAGCGGCAGCGAGGGTGGCTTCTGGTGGGCCTGGGGCTGGGGCTGGGTATCCATCCGAGTAGGCCGCACGGGCCCCGGCAAGTACGCCACCGCTTCGTGAACTTTGGGGCGGGGCGGGTAGTTGAGGAGTTTGTGGTTTGGCACCGTGGATTAGAATTGGTCTTTCGGAGTTTACAATCGGTGATGACAAAAACCGTGCACATATCAAGAGGAATATAGTGTAGTAGGTTTTGATAGTAAATTCCGAAGAGTTCAGTTTGGGGGAGTGATTTTTTTTTTTTTCCCTTGGCATGACGGCTGTGAGCGTCATGTAGCTAAGTTTTTTGTTTGTTTTTAGTATAGGCTAGAACTGTATTTTGAACCCGGTGATAAGCCTATTAAGCAAAAAAGTATAAGCCTAATCACGTGGGGGGAGGGGGTGAATAGGTCCTCAGAATCAGGACCGTGTTGGTAGCTTTCTTGGAGACAACACAAAAGGGATAGGTAAAAGTCTGAGAATGTTTCCAGTGAAACACTTAAATCTTTATAAGAAGTCGATTACCTACTTTGCAGCTTTAGGAAAAATAAACTTTTCTTAAAGTTGCTGCCTGTTAAATGTTTCATGGTGCTTTGTCAAGATTGCCAAGGAAGTTTATCAAATTTTGGTTTAAAAAAAAATCCACAAAACAGGTTTTTAGTGGCCTTCCAAAGGACAGATAACCTAGAAATGCCATCAAGCAATATGACAGGACTGAGCTTTCCTTACTGGATTAGACAGACTGCTGACTTCTTATCCTGCTCTCTTGTTCATCTTTTCATCTATCATAATTGAGGAAATTTATCTGATTGCCTTGTCTGCCATCTTTTGTCCTCCCTTGGTAAACAGGTTTTTGTATTTTTTACTTAAAATCTCCATGTTAGAGTCATATATTTTAGTTAACAGATGATCCTTAGCAGTTTTGTTATACAATTTACATGTAAAAATACACATTTCAGTGGGTTTTAGTACTTTCCAAGTTTTCAAACTATCACTACCTTGTAATTTGAAAAACAGCCTTCATTCCAAAAAAAACATTCATTAAAAAAAAAAAAGAAGAAGAAGTATACCAGCACTCCTGAGGTGGAGGCAGAGGAATTCAGGCTAGTCTAGGCTGTACAGCAAGATCCTGTCTTCAGAACAAAAAAGAAATGTCAACACACCACACTATTAAGATCTTTGTGAAGAGTTTAATGAGAAATTAATGCTTGGTATAACATCCGTTCCACTCTTTCCTCTTGTTAAATCATGCTTAACAGGAAATAACTGGCTTCTTGGGTTTGTTGCTATTTTTCTTTTAAGAAAAAAAAAACTTAAGTAGTAGATCTCTTCAAAATATCTCTGACTTTTGTTCCCTGAGTTTTGGGACCTCCTTTTTCAGAGATACTTGATTAGTATCAAGCTGTAGAAACATTTTGTTGACTTTGGAAAACTTGTTTTGCTTGTCCTTCCTCTGAAGACAGAATAGTTTTTTTGTACTTTAAGGTTCAGATATTTTGTTGGTGGTATATTTCCTTCATTTCATAGAGCTCTTTAAATCCCATCAATCCACCCCCCCCACCCTCAATGCTTAGCCTGAAGCAAACCAAACACATTAAATAACAATCTGAGACGTATGTACTTACTGCTTACTTTATAACTGAACAGGCTTAGAAGTTGTAGCCAGTGAATGGCAGAGTAGGGATTCAACCCAGGATTTCCTTTATCTTAAGGATTTGTATTTAATTTACTTGTGTACTTAAGAACTTTAAAAAAAAAATTTTTTTTCTTCCCATTTTTGGTTCTTTGACTAGAGCTGGACCTGGGACCTTAAGAAGTAACCAAGTGCGTGGGGAGTATAAGGGGAGGCACAGAAATGGAGGGAGAATGGGTGAACATGCGGCAGTGGTACTCACTGGACACTGTTTAAAGTATACATCTTGTGGGTGAGGCTGGAAGAGGAAAACTGGGAGATGAGCAAAGAGGTGACATTGCCCAAAAAGCAATGTACTGTTTACCTGACTTAGGTAACCCCTCTGTACATCACCTTTAATGATAATTTTTTTTTAAATTTTAAAGGAATAACAAAAAAACGGACTGGAAGGGGGCAGTTCAGTGAGGCTCTTTAAAATCTTTAGTACATCAGAACACAGGTGCGTGCTGAAGAGTAGAGATTATTAGTTACTTTTGAGAGTTTCTACATTAGCTTATTTTAATGCATAATGAGTTCTAGAAAAGAAAACATGACCCTTCTGAGGCTCTACTAACAGTTGCACTGATAATTAGATAATGTGGAATTAAGCATGAGTGAATAGTTATTGTTGATGTAAAATATAATCTTTAAGCATAGTGAAATCAAGTGAATAAATTGTTTTGATTACAGAGGAAGGTGGTGGTGGTAAGGGGAACATTTGAAATATTCAGGTGAGTAGAATTCCTACAGCTGCATAGTGAAATGTAAGGTGTGGTAAGTTTCTGCAGCTGAAGGACTTCTGCATTAGGCTATTGAAAAAAAGTTTGGAATTTTAAAAGGAAAGATGGTTGCTTCTGGAGAAGAGAACAGACTTGAGTGGATGGGTTCATTTTGGAGGCAAAGAAGGGTCAGTTGCTGTTTTGTATTTTGTGAATGTATTTAATAAAACTAGGTTTGTTTGATAAAGTAATAGACATAATGTGTGTGTAGTGATTTCACAGTAGGTGAGCTTTAAAAATACAGGTACAGCTGAGCACCTTTAATCCTAGCTACTTAGGAGACAGATCTGAGGCACACAGTTCAAAGCCAGCCCATGCAGGAATATCCGTTGAGACTCTCGTTGCCAGTTAACCACCAGAAAACCTGAAGTGCCACTGTGGCTCAAGTTATAGAGTGCTCACCTTGAGCTGAAGAACTCAGGGACAGCACCTAAGCCCAGAGTCAAAGCCCTGTGTCCCACTGAAAACAACAACAACAACAAAAAAAAAACAAACAGATACTGTTTGAAGCGTTTTTTAGCTGCCTGGCTTGAATTCTGTATCGTCCTGCCTCTGCCTTAAAAGTGCTGGGATTCCAAGGCATGTCCCATCATGCTTTGTGGCATTCAATTTTGAGCATCTTTTTTTAACCTTAATTTTAACTCAGGTCATTTAAAACTCTGCTCTTGAGTATTTAAATTGGACTTAAGAATCAAAGCCATGCATCAGTGGCTCTGCCTGTAATCCTAGCTACTCAAGAGGCTGAGATCTGAGGATTGAGACTGGAAGCCAGCCTAGTCAGGAAAATCCGTAGACTCCTTATCTGCAGTTAACCAGCAAAAGGCCAGAAGTAGAAGTGGCTCAAGTGGTAGAGCGCTAGCCTTGAGCAAAAGAGCTCAGGAACAGCGCCCAGGCCCTGAGTTCAAGCCCCAAGACTGGCACCCCCCAAAAAGTGAATATTTAAGATTCAAAATCAGTAACGTATCTAATAAATTTTAGGCTTTTATAATGCCATTTTTTCCCAAAACAAGTACGCAGTGCATTTTTATGGACTCAATATGAGTGGTGGTATTACATACAACTTCTAAACTGTAGAAGTTTGAATTTGCATAACCTTTCACATAAATAATAAAATGTAAAAAGTGAAAACTTAAAAAGATGGTGAAAGGGCTAGAGTTGGCAGTCATGGTTTGAAGAATCTGAAATTGCCAGTTATCCAAGTCTTAAAAAATCTTAGCTAATGTAATATTTAGTCTTGGGTTTTACTGCTTGCTTTTGTAACCTCAAGTCGAAAGTTGGTAGAATATTGTGGTATTGTTATAGGAGTCACTTTAAACTTATTTTTCCCGTTGTGATACTTCTGAAAGGTGTTTCTTGAGAAGAGTATATTTTGATTGACTGCTTTATGTGCTTGTTTATTTTTTATAGCATTTAAATCAAACGTTATTGAGATGGATTGGGTTATGAAACATAATGGTCCAAATGACGCTAGTGATGGGACAGTACGACTTCGCGGACTGCCATTTGGTTGCAGCAAAGAGGAAATAGTTCAGTTCTTTCAAGGTACCTCTAGTATTAGTCAAAGTTCAGTAGCATTTTAATTTTATTATATGTGACCAATTTTTAATTTGTACAACTCATTTGATTTTGGAACTTTTAGATTGTTAGGTTATATCTTAAAATCTGAAATGTGCTCCAGTTTAATATATTCAGTACAGAATGCATAGAATGTGTAAAACAATGTACAGCGCAGTTAGTTGAGAATAATTGTGATGAGATGAGCTATGAATTAGCATTTGGAGCATAGTTGCATTTGATTTGTAGCTTTGTCCATGTAATATAGGTGGGCTTTAGAGTGTAATTTGAAAAAACTGGTGGCAAAATTTTTTACTTAATCCAATAATATTATGGGATGTATTATGGGGTGATGGGAAACTAAGCTTTTTTTTTTTTGTTTTGTTTAGACTTGTTTTAAATATTTGATTCAGATGGGAATGTTTCAGCCTTTAACACTGTTCCCCTTGATGGGGTTATTTGTCCTTGGGTTAAAGGGTTGGAAATCGTGCCAAATGGGATAACATTGACGATGGACTACCAGGGGAGAAGCACAGGGGAGGCCTTCGTGCAGTTTGCTTCAAAGGAGATAGCAGAAAATGCTCTGGGGAAACACAAGGAAAGAATAGGGCACAGGTGGGGATGGAGAGTTTGGGATGGTGTTAAATTTTTATTTTTGGGGGTTGTGGGTCACTTGCTTAAATGGGGGGGTAACCATAACATTTTTCTGGGGTAGTTTAAAAGAATTGATTATTACCTAAATTTAACATGGAAACTACAGATTTGGGGGGGGAATGATGCTAATAGTTGGCTTAAATTAAAAATTAGATTGTTTCCATTTCTTGGTAGGCTGTTAATAAATACTTGTTCTATAATCACATATTTTCTTTAAACATGTATCATGTATAAACGGAAACAAACTAAAAGTATATTTGAATTTATTGCTTTCAAATGACTCATTTGTCTATGTAAAACTTAAATATTTAATTATTTAAGTTTGGAGGTATAAAATGTTGATTTATGGTGTATTTAGGCAATTTAAATTGGGTTATATATCTAGATGTAGAAAAAAATGCATTTTGCCCAATGTCTAATTTATTCTAATGCATTTGTGCTGAAACCTGTACCTTAAAACATTTTTAAATAGGTATATTGAGATCTTCAGGAGTAGCAGGAGTGAAATTAAAGGATTTTATGATCCACCAAGAAGACTGCTGGGACAGCGACCAGGACCATATGATAGACCAATAGGAGGAAGAGGGGGTTATTATGGAGCTGGGCGTGGAAGTATGTATGACAGAATGCGACGAGGAGGTGATGGATATGATGGTGGTATGTGTATCTAATGAACAAAGGTTCTGTTGTCATTTTCTTAATGTTCCTGACACTTTGTCAAGAAATACAGAAATGGCAGTAATTTCAGTACCTACTAGGTTTTAAAACCTGTTCATGAGTTCCCACGGCCAGCTGTGGGACTTGATTGATGCACATATTGACACCTAGAAAACTTATATAAAAGTGAAGATAATTGGCACTTTTCTTTTTGTACTGTAAAGATGAATATAATTTACATGTCATGACTGAATTTGTCCTTTTAAAGTTTTAAATCTCAAGGGGCTAGCTGCTTTGTATGTGCTAATTTGGGATTTGCAAATGTGAAATGGTGAAAAAGGCTAAATAAACCTTACCACAATGTGATTTGTAAACTAAATTGTAAAAATACCCTCTTGGAATGGTGTTCATGTATTTCTCCTTCAATTACATAGGCTATGGAGGTTTTGATGAGTATGGTGGCTATAATAATTATGGCTATGGAAATGAAGGCTTTGATGACAGAATGAGAGATGGACGAGGTAAAATATTTTCATTTTGAAGTAAATTTTATTAAAGTTTCAATGGTAATATAAGTGGCTTATATAACTGAGCTCAGGCATCTTTTGGTGCATTCCTTTATAGGACTTTATACCTTGCATATAACTTCCTACATGTATCCATAATGGTTTATAATCTTAGCAAAATTTTATTTCCTAGGTATGGGAGGGCATGGCTATGGTGGAGCTGGTGATGCAAGTTCAGGTTTTCATGGTGGTCATTTTGTACATATGAGAGGGTTGCCTTTCCGTGCAACTGAAAATGACATTGCTAATGTGAGTAATTGTAGTAATAAGTCATTTTATATCAGTACCTCACAATTCTGCTTGAATTATGGCTGTGCCCCACCATGCCTGGCTAGTTTAGAAACATCTTTTCATTTTAAAGTTAATATAACCTAGCTTATTTTATTTTTTCTCTATTATCTTGCCAGTCCTGGGGCTTGAACTCAGGGCCTGGGCACTGTCCCTGAGCTTCTTTTGCACTCTACCACTTGAGCCACCGTGCCACTTCCAGCTTTTTTTGTTTATGTGATATTGAGGAATTGAACCCAGGGCTTCACTCATGCTAGGCAAGGACTCTTACAACTAAGCCACATTCCCAGCCCAACCTAGTTTATTTGAAAGGCAATGAGTTGTTTGCTTTTTTTTTTTTTTTTTTTTTTGGTCAGTCTTGGGGCTCAAACTCTGGGCTTGGGCTCTATCTCTGAGCTCAAGGCTAGCACTCTACCACTAGAGCCACAGCGCCAATTCCTTTTTCTGGTGGTTAATTGGAGATAAGAGTCTCAGGGAGTTTCTTGCCTGGACTGGCTTTGAACCTCAATTCTCAGATCTCAGTTTCCTGAGTAGCTAGAATTACAGGCATGAGTCACTGGCACCAACTGTTTGCCTTTTTTTTTTTTTTTTAGTGGGTAGGAGGAGGAACTGAGTTTGTTTTTTTGTTTTTAGTGGGTAGGAGGAAGAATTAAGTTTGAAGTCCGGTCTTTGTGCTTGCTAGGCAGACACTATCAGTTGAGTCATTTGCCACTAGTCTTTCATGTTCTGGTTAATTTTGAGATAGGGTCTCACTTGTTTCCCTGGATTGGCCTGGACTGCAATACTCCTATAGCTGGAGTGGCAGATAATTGCCACCAGGCCTAGATGGAGTCACATATGCTCTTTTTTGTTGTTGTTCTAGTCGACCTCAAGCAGTGATTCTCCCAATCTTTGCCTCTCAAGAAGCTAGGATTACAAGTGAGCCATCAGCACCATTCAGCACCATTTTTCTTAAGTGGGTAATTATGTTCATAGGATCTTTTTTAACTATTGCTAGGCAAATAGGGCAACAGAAGGGTTTGTTCAGGGTTTATTCCAATGAACTGAAGAAGAATCACGGTAAACTGGTAACTTTAAATAATTGAAATAAAAAGGTGAATAACAAGTGTTTTGTTTTATTTAGTTCTTCACACCACTAAACCCAATACGAGTTCATATTGATATTGGAGCTGATGGGAGAGCAACAGGAGAAGCAGATGTAGAGTTTGTGACACATGAAGATGCAGTAGCTGCCATGTCTAAGGATAAAAATAACATGCGTAAGTGTTTTCCTTGCCATGCTGTCTTATTTCTTGGATGTTACCCAGATTACAAAATGAATTTCTCATTGATTTAAATAGATGTAAGAGATGTTTTACATTTAAGTAGCTATGGCACAAGTATAAAAGCACTTAGAACTCTTAACTCATTGAATCTAGATAATTGATTTTTTTTTTAAAGTTTTTATTGAGAAATTTGATCCAGTGCCTTTTTCTATCCACCTTTTTCCTTTAAGAACATAGATACATTGAACTCTTCTTGAATTCTACTCCTGGAGGTGGCTCTGGAATGGGAGGTTCTGGAATGGGAGGCTATGGCAGAGATGGAATAGGTATGTAATTTTTTTATGGAATAGATATGTAATGCTTTTTAAATAAGCAATGTTAGCTACCTGACAATTCTCAATTATTTTTTGTAAAGATAATCAGGGAGGATATGGATCTGTTGGCAGAATGGGAATGGGGAACAATTACAGCGGAGGATACGGTACTCCTGATGGCTTGGGCGGTTATGGTATGTATGTGTAGTTTGGTTTATGTTAGTTCCCATAATATAATGCCTGTAATTAAAGGTAGATGTTACTTTTAGCATCTTAATGATTTTTGTTTTTTTTTTTAAGGCCGTGGTGGTGGAGGCAGTGGAGGTTACTATGGTCAAGGTGGCATGAGTGGAGGTGGATGGCGTGGGATGTACTGAAAAAAAATGCACCAACATACAAGTCTTAACAACACAGCATCTGGTCTACTAGACTTTCTTACAGATTTAATTTCTTTTGTATTTTAAGAACTTTATAATGACTGAAGGAATGTGTTTTCAAAATATTATTTGGTAAAGAAACAGATTGTGATGGGAAAATCTGTTTTCTGTAGGTTTTATTTGTTGCATACTTTGACTTAAAAATAAATTTTTATATTCAAACAACTGATGTTGATACTTTTTATATATAGCTACTCCAAAAGATGTGCTGCCTTCTTAAGATTTGGGTTAATGTATTTTACTGTTAGCTCTATCAGAAGTTGTATAGTGTGTAATGTTAGAGGATAATGGTTCACTTCTGAGTAAACAGCAAGCTTAATAAGCAGTATCTGGCATAGAGCTTTAAAAATTAGTGAAACTTCTTATAATTTCTCCTATACAACACTGTAAATATAAACCTTAAAGATGAATTGGGTGGCTTCAGGAGCATAATTTCAGCTAATACTATATTATTTTTAGAATATCATTTATTAGACAAAGCTACCTGAATTTCTTAGTATAGGTAGGTGTGCTGCAAATTTAGCCTTAGACTTTAGAGTAAGATCCCCTTTTTGACTGAAGTACCAAAAATGTTTCTAAAAAGATTTGTAAGTTAAGATGTCTTAGAGTAGCTAAAGGTTTTTGATGACATAAGAATTCAATGCAAGTATGTGGCTATGTACTATAGAGAGTGTACTTCACACCTGTATTTTCAGTTTCTCACATGACTCTATAAAGTGTTTTATAAAATGTAAAAGAAATCCATGTCAATTAAAATAATCCTTCAAATGGATTTTACATCTAATATCAGCTTTGAGTTTTAGTTGAAATACTATATAGAGCAAGGAAAAGGTGCTTTTTACCTCTTTTTGTCAGTATGGCGCTTTTATTTTCCAAATTGACTAATGGGTCAAAGTGAAACCTGTCAATGTGAATTCATTTATTCAACTTGTAACTTGTTTTTGCTAGAAATGTTATTCATGTAATAAATGTCAATGTGGGAGACAATAGTATCTTGTCTGTCCTAGAATGTTTTTTGTTGGTTACTGAATTGGTAGAAAATACTATAGTGGTATCTAAATTGAAGATGAATAGACAAAGTGATTCCAAAGGAGTGATTTCTGGAGTTACAAAGGAAGTATTGACAGCTGGTGTAGGAGCCTGTTGTCCTTTGGCATTGGTGTTTTGTTTTGTCCAACGTGGAGCTTGAACTCTGAGCTTGGGCATTGTCCCTGCGCTTTTCAGCTCAAAGCTAGCACTCTACCACTTGAGCCACACAGCTCCACGTTCAGTTTAGGGGCAGTTTATTGGAGATAACAATCTCATGGACTTTTTCCTGTATGGGCTGGCTTCAAACTGATGCTTCCTCAGACCTCAGCCTCCTGAATAGGATTCTAGTCATGAGCCACTGGCACTCGTGATTTTTTTTTCTTTTTATATTTTCTTTTGATTGGAGACTGAAATCAGGGCTTCTGTGTTCTAGGCATTTAGAGCTCTACCACTCAACACAAACACCGGTATTTTCCCTAGGAACTGCCCTCAAATTGTTAAAAGCAGTCAAAGTATACAAATGCTAGAAATAAATATCCTAAAGGAGGCTAGTTTTTCCAAATTGTTTTATAAAACTCACGTTTTATTTTTAAAACATTACAGGTTAGAATTACAGTAGCAATTCCTTGGCACCGTGATCACATCATCATGGGTATTGTCTATGTAAAGGAATGGCATGAAGTCTGTTTTGAAAAGCAAAAGTAGTGTACACAGGTCATAATTACACAATAATTAGGAAAGTTTTGCAGTAAAATCTAAAAATATTATGTTTTTGTTTTCATGGTCTGGGGAATCAAACCCAGGGCCTTACACATGCTTAGGCAAGCACTATGCCACTGAGCCGCATCCCTAGTCTATAAATGGCTTTTAAGTAAGCTAAAACTAAACAGCCAAGTTACACTTTTTGAGAACAGCTGCCTCAAAGAAAATGAACCTAAGATGTAATGACATCATTTAGTGAGAAAGTTTCAAAAAATGACTAAAAATCATGGTTTATTTGTTGTAAATCAACCTTGGAATTTAAGCAACTTTGTGTGTGTAAGTGCCATTCCTGGAGCTTGAACTCAGCCTGAACTTTTCTACTCAAGGCTAATGCTCCACCACTTGAGCCACAGCTCCACTTCAGGTTTTTTTTGTGTGTGTGGTTTTTTGTGTGTGTGTGTGATTAATTGGAGATTAGAGTCTCACGGACTTTCCTGCCTGGGCTGGCTTCAAATTGTGATCTCAGATCTCACCCTCCTGAGTTAGCTGGGATTATAGGCGTGAGCTACTAATGCCCAGCTCTTAAATTACATTTTAAATTCTGAAGTACATAATAAAAAACATTTGAAACTTATGTTTACTAATTTTCAGCAGTCATAAAAATGTTATTATATCCCATCAGTACAAAAACAGTTCAAGAATATAATTCTATTTCTTAAGGACACATTTCTGTCCATATTAGAGAAAGGATATCTGAGATCTATGTTAGATCTAACTGAAATTGACCTCAGAAGCTCACTGGAAATTTATAGGTTCTGGAGACAGTAGATCTTCAAGTAAAACACTAGTTTTTACTTTGGCAATTTAGAAAAGCATCTTATACGCATCTATGATTAATCGTAGATGTAATAATGCTCCTTGGAATGTAAAGTTTGTTATTCTTGGAAGACTCAAAAGTGCATAGCTAAAAATTAATACACAAAGGATTCTAAATGGTGGTGTGACTACAGAAGTTAACAATAGAAATTCTTAGTATGCTACAACAAAATAGTGTTCCTTGAATCTAAGAAATGGGCTGGAAGCCTCCATTTTCATTTACCCAACACCAATGGTAGACTAGGACAACATTTCTGAGAAATTACTCCAATGGGAATAGAATAGGACGTGGGTGCTGTCCCTCAGCTCTTAAGCACTCTACCACTTGAGCCACAGCACCACTTCTGGCTTTTTCTGCTTATGTGGTGCTGAGGAATCAAACCCAGGGCCTCGTGTATACAAGGCAAGCACTCTACCGCTGAGCCACCTTCCTAGCCCAGAATCACTCTTTTCTATGTTGTTCCAAGGGAACGGATTTTTTCCCCTCATTTTTAATGCTTAAGGAGAGAAACTGGGTTTTGTTCCCCTGCAGCCTGTGCATAAAACCACATTTCCTGAGGGATTTATGTTTTCAACTTTGAATTGGGATACTATCCCCCATTCCGTGTTAAAAACCAAAAAAGCATCTGAAAAGATCTGTCCCAGTAACTTAAGGTAAAAGGATAGTTATGTTTAAAAGGGTAAATGTTAAGCCAAATCAGTGTCCCTTATAATCCCACCAGCATATGAAACTGACAAGACCAAAAGGAAATGACATAGTATTGACATAGTATAAAATATTGGTTGTTTCTATTGCAAATAAGGGAAGGGTGGGGGGGGGGGAGAAAAAACACATCAAATACTTACGTTGGAATCTTGCCGAAATGAAAAGCCTACAGGCTAGATGTGGTGGCATATAACCCCAGCACTCAAGGCTGAGGAACACAGGATGGATGATCCTGTGTTAAGAAAGATGGTGTGTTGAGATCTTGTCTCATAACAAATGCTGAATTGGGACATAAATTCTTCTAAAAAAGTTGATACATTTCAGTCTTGCTCTGAGAACTGTGAAGCTTTAAAGTGCATTAAGAGAATTACAGGCACCATCAAATGCCAATTTGACAGAATTCAGAAGACAATCTGAAGCCTTATTTTTAAGAAGGCCTTTACAAGATAAGGCAAATGTGTGTTCGCTTCTGTCTGGCTTTCAATGGACTTAAGTTACATGATTGTTCTGTGTAATATTAATTAGGCTAAAGTTACTCCAAAACATGCTGTTTAAAATTCTGGATAACAATGGAAAAAAGTAAGTATCAAGTCATCCAGCTTATGATTCCCAAAAATTAAGTCGAGAAGATAAACTGGTACCAATACTGACTGGAAGCTGCTTAGAGGGGCTGATGTCTGCACACCTTGCATACATGGAATATTCATTGCAGGTACTGTCATACAGGAAGGACTTAGTTCTGGAGTTTTATGGCAAGTTAGATGAGCATCTCTGAATGAGTAATGCATGACAGGAATCACAGACTCGTACTGGCTTTGGTGAAGAAGGCAAAGGCAGTTCGTTGTCAGAGCAGGCATTACAGAAAATTTCCCCACAGTTTCTACAGTGGTGCTATTAAATGGAAAGAGAAAACTGAATGAAATTTTAAGTCATTTTTGAGCCAAAAAATTTTGGGACTCCCTACCTCTCTTACCTTTCTCTTAGAAAGTGAGAATTCCTTTTCACAAAGCTTACAATGTGTTGCTTCTTTGTCTTTCAGCCAAACCAGTCCCTAATGGGAAGAAAAAACCCAGGGCATGTGCACTGCCACCAAGCAACACCCTTAGCCCTAAAATGCTTCACATTTATACAGCGTATTTGTAAACTCACACCAATGGGTTGAGCCTTCTTACTTAAAGCATCTACTCACCTGCAATGCTTTGTTGGCTTCTTTTATATCTTCTATTTTCAGTTTGGATCTAAAAGAGTTACAAACAGGTGCAAATTTTAGTGTACATTTTTAAATATGACTGCCTAGTAATTAGGTGCTGGGTTTTCATAGAATATGAAATTATACACACTATTAGATCCTAGTGATTGTGTCTGGCCAGAACAATGTCATTCTCCTATGTCTTTTGTTTTGGTCAACTTAGCTTTGTGCTTGCTAAGCAGGCACTTTACCACTTAAGCTGCATCTCTAGCTAGCACTTTATTACATTTTAGTATTAAACTTTTATGATCTTAAGGTAAGTGTTTGGTCTTGGCTCAAAGTGCTTAGTAAATGGATGCCAAATTGGTAACGGAATCCTGCTTATCAGAACTACAATGCAAATTGTTCTTTGAAAACACTAATTGAAGCCGGGTGCTGGTGGCTCACGCCTCTAATCCTAGCTACTCAGGAGGCTGAGATCTGAGGATCACAGTTCAAAGCCAGTCCTGACAGAAAAGTCAGTGAGACTCAACTCCAATAACCACTAGAAAACCGGAAATGGTGCTGTGGCTCAAGCGGTAGAGTGCTTGCACTGAGCTGAAGAGCACAGGGACCAGCGCCCAAGCCAAGAGTTCAAGCCTCACAACCGACAAAAAAAAAAAAAAAGAGAAAACTAACTGAGCTGCGATGTAGCTCATTGACAAGCAAGTGTAACATCCCAGTACTAAAAGAGACAAAAAAAAATTTTTTTTAAGAAAAAAGAAAAACTAGGAACAAAAAAAAAAGCCTTGTCCCTCCTTTCCCCCTTCCCCCCACCCCTTTTTTTTGATTGGGGATTCAGGGCCTGGGTGTTGTCCCTGAGCTCTTCAGCTCAAGGCTAGCGCTCTACCACTTGAGCCACAGCGCCACTTCTGGCTTTGTTTATGTAGTGCTCAGGAATCGAACCCAGGGCTTCATGTATGCAAGGCAAGCATTCTACCACTGAGCCACCTTCCCAGCCCTCCCTGAACATTTTTGGTCAAGGCAAAAAAGGTAGAGCATTATCTCTACCACTTAAGCCACAGCTCTACTTCTGGCTTGTTTTATGCTTAACTGGAAGTAAGATTCTTGTGGACTTGCTGCCCAGGCTGGCTTCAAACTGCAATCCTCAGATCTCAAGCCTCCTGAGTACCTAAGATTAAAGAGGTAAGCTTCCAGTGTCCACCTAATAGCTTTATTCTTTAGAAGCCAAGTTTCCTTCATGGTTCTTGTAAATTATAATACTGTTCCTTATGCCCTTGGAAATGAGGCTCAATACCTCCTAATGGAATCTCATCTTCAGCAACAATTAAATCTCTGTTCTACTGTGATTTCTACTGAGTTAATTTTTACAAATGGCATGCACCCATATATATGATGAGATGCTTACATTTAGATTTATTTTGAGGTTGGCTAGAGACAAGACGTGATTAAAGTATAGGTCACTGTAGATTTCTTATTTCTACTTTTCTATATTAAAACAGATAGTCCATGCCTGTTTTAAGACCTTTGGTGGTGGTGGTGGTGGTCGTGTGTCTTGAACTCTGGGCTTGGACTTGGGCCTGGGCGCCGTCCCTCAGCTCTTCAGCTCAAGGCCAGCACTCTACCACTTGAGCCACACCACCATTTCCGGTTTTCTGAGTGGTTTATTGGAGATAAAGAGTCTCATGGACTTTACTGCTTGGGCTGGCTTTGAACCACAATCCTCAGATCTCAGCCTCCTGAGTTGCTAGGATTATAGGCATGAGCTACCGGCACCTGGCATTATAAGACCTTTTTAAAGGAGTCTACTTAGTTGAAGAATAAAAGAGAAATTACTCGCTAAGTTTGTTGCCAAGTTCTTGAAGAGCTTGTTCTTGTTCATGATATATTTTCTTCAACTGCTGATTTTCATCCTGAAGGTTAAGAAATTCCTTCAAAATAAGACAAAATGTAATTTAAATTCTACGCATACTAATTTGAAAAACATATTCTTAGGTTATTTTGGCTTTTTAAGACAGCCTTGCTATATGGTCCAAGCTGTCCCCCAACTCATGATCTTCCTCTTAGCCTCCCAAGTACCGCCTTTCTTTACGCCTTTTAATAAGAAACACAACTGACAAATGACAATGGGTGACAATGATCAAGATGCACTGGATTTACAAGCTCACATGTTGAACTGACACTCTCTTGTACAGCTACTGAAAGATAATAAAACAGAACTCTTTCCAAAACTGTGTGTGTATATGTGTGTGCGTATGCACATGCTGCTCCTGGAGCTTTAACTCAGACTGGGAACCATCTCTGAGCTTTTGTGCTCAAAGAGAGCACTTTAGTTGGGCTACTGACTCACACCTGTAATCCTAGCTATTCAGGAGGATGAGATCTGAGGATCACAGTTCAAAGCCAGCCTGGGCAGAAAAGTCCCTGTGAGACTTATCTCCAATAAACTTATCTCCAGAAAAAGATAGAAATGGTGCTGTGGGTCAGGTGGTAGGCTCAGGGACATGTCACACCCAGGCTCTGAGTTCAAGCCCCAGGACTGGAAAAAAAAAAAATAACTACTCTACCATTTAGGCCACAGCTCCACTTCCAGCTTTTTTGGTGTTTAACTGGAGATAAGAGTCTCTCGGACTTTCCTGCCTGGGCTGGCTTCAAACCATGATCATCTAATCTTAACCTCCTAAGTAGCTAGCATTACAGACATGAGCCATCCAAGCCTGCCAAACTTCTCATCAACAATTTTCCATTCACTTTAATCTTCTTACTGATACTTCCAGAAATAACTAGTATATACTGTTTCTTCATATATGATACTTCCAGAAATAACTAGTATATACTGTTTCTTCATATAAATGTACATTTTTAAGTTAACAGTTGTCAAGATGCAATATTTAAAGTTTTACCACTATTTACTTTTTTAAGACTAATGATTTGTTGGGTTTCATGTCTAAGATGAGATAAGGCATCTTTCTCCTTTTGAAGATCTTCCTGCAAAGTCTGCCTCCATTCCTTTTCAATCTTCAAGTCAGTTTCCAGTCGCACCCTTGAATGACAAATGACACACAGAGCTCAGTGCTATTTCTCACAGAACAGTTGTATCCCTTCATATAAGCATCTTATCTTTTTGTTGATTATTTCAGCCTCTAAATAGGATTGGAGATACTTTATTTCATAAATATTTCTTGATAAGTTCAGGATTTTCAGCTACAAAATACCCTTCTTACTCATTTGTCATTTATTACATATACATAAATAATACATAATGGAATGGCAAATGCCATACTGTAAAAACTAGTTACGTCTTGGAAATGGAACTAGTGAAAACAAGGGAAGGTGGGATTTTTGTTATTGTTTTTGAGACAAAGATTCTTTTTGTAGCAGGCCGGCCTCAAACTCACAGTCTTCCTGCCTCCGTTTCTGGAGTGCTGAGATTATAGGCATGTGGCTTAGGGTGGGGTTGTATCCCTATACCATGTGAACTTTTTTACAACAAACTAAAGAATTGCTCTGGTGTAATTATTGCTGTTATCAGAATAGAAATCAACTGGGGCAAAGTGCTAATTTACAGATTACTGCTAGAAGCTGAACAGTATCAGGATAGATCTATGAGCAGGCCATCTTAGGAGAAAAGTCCATGCTGCTTAGAAATGCTAATTCTACCTCATTCTAACAACAAAAGTAGTCAAAGTACTACATTTTAGATTGATCAAAAAAAGTCTTTTTCGCTGGGCGCTGGTGGCTCATGCCTGTAATCCTAGCTACTCAGGAGGCTGAGATCTAAGGATCGCTGTTCAAAGCCAGTCCAGGCAGAAAAGTCCATGACATTCATCTCCAACAAACCACTCAGAATACCAGAAGTGGCACTGTGGCTCAGGTGGTAGAGCGCTAGCTTTGAGCTGGAGAGCTGAGAGACAGCGCCAGGCCCAGAGTTTAAGCCCCACAACCAACAAGAAGACATTTTCAAAATTATTCTTTGCAAGTGGATAGAATAACAAGGGTACATATACTGATAATAGTTCAGAATGGGTGTTGAAGAGCCCTAAATCTATAAATGCCAATGTACACAGAAAACATTCTCCCCTGAAATAATGTATGGCATGCTCTGACAAAAGGTCCGAGGAAAAGACAGTCTAGTAAGAGAAAATTTTTGTGTGTACTGGGACTTGAACGAGAGCCTGGGCACTGGGTCCCTTAGCTTTTTCACTCAAGGCTGGTGGCTTTACCACTTGAGCCACAGCTCTACTTCTGGCTTTTTGCTGGTTAATTGGAGATAAAAGTTTCATGGACTTTCCTACCCAGGCTCACTTATAACCAAATCCTCAGATCTCAGCCTCCTGAGTAGCTAGGAATACAGGCGTGAGGCACCGGCGCCCAACTGCATGTTCTTTGATGACAGTTCTTTGGTGTTAAGTTCTAGTACTCCATATCTAATGGCCATCAGATTAATAGAGAACAAAACTGGGGCACAGGTCCTTGGAAAAGTGCTAGCTTAGTACGTATTAAACCCTGAACTCAAACTTTAGTGTTACTGCAACCAAAAACAAAATTAAATTAAAAATAAATAAAAATAGGGGCTGGGAAGGTGGCTCAGTGATAAGAGTGCTTGCCTTGTATGTATGAGGCCCTGGGTTCCATTCCTTAGCACCACATAGGCAGAAAAAGCCAAAAGTGGAGCTGTGGCTTAAAGTGGTAGAGCACTAGCCTTGAGCTGAGGGACAGTGCCCAGCAGAGTTCAGGCCCCACAACCAACAATAAATAAACAAACAAATAAATAAAATCTCCTAAATATGACAGCAAGACATAGCTGAAAGTACTCAATAAGCAATAATGAAAGTGAGGGGCTGGGAAGGTAGCTTAGTGGTAGAGCGCTTGCCTTGCATGTATGAGGCCCTGAGTTTTATTCCTCAGCACCACATAAACAGAAAAAGCCAGAAGTGGCACTGTGGCTCAAGTAGTAGAGTGCTGGCCTTGAGCTGAAAAGCTGAGGGACAGTGCCCAGGTGAGCTCAGGCCCCCCCAACTGACAAAAAAAAAAGAATAAAAATGAAAACATGTTATCACAAATTTTCAGTTTTTGTGTGGAACTGGGAATCGAACATAAAACTTTGGGCAAATGCTCTTAACACTAAAATATATCCTTAGCCCAAATTTTAATTTTTTTTTTTTTTTTTTGGTCAGTTGTGAGGCTTGAACTCAGGGCCTGGGAGCTGTCCCTGAGCTCTTTTGCTCAAGGCTAGCATGCTATCACATTGGGTCATAGCTCCACTTCTGGTTTTCTAGTGGCTAACTGGTAAGAGTCTCAAGGACTTTCTTGCCCAGGCTGGCTTTGAAGTGGTATCCTCAGATGTCAGCCTCCTGAGTAGCTAAAATTACAGGCATGAGCCACCAGTGCCTAGCTAAATTTTTAGTTTTTAAAATGAACATATTAGCCAGTATCATTGGATAAATAAAAAAATTTGTATTTTATTATGGTGTGCAAAAAAAAACTGAGAGGAGGCTGGGAAGGTGGCTCAGTGGTAGAGCACTTGCCTTGCATACACGAGCCCTGGGTTCCATTCCTCAGTAACCACATAAGCAGGGGAAAAAAAGCCGGAAGTGACGCTGTGGCTCAAGTGGTAGAGCGCTAGCCTTGAGCTGAAGAGCAGAGGGTCAGCGCCCAGGCCCAGAGTTCAGGCCCCACAACCGGACCCAAAAAAAAACCCAAACAAAAACTGAGGGGAGGGGATTATATCAATACAATTCTTTGTTTCTAAGAGTAAACTACTCACAGCTGTTTCTCCTTTTGGGAAATTTGTTTCTGCAGACTGTCAGATTTACTGAGGCATTCTTGTCGATATTTCTCATCCTCATCTTCAGCTTCCACTTGCGCCTTCTCTGCTTGCTGCAATCTGGTGTAATTCAAATCAACTTTGGGTAAAACTGAGGCTAGAACTAGGGTGTAAAAGGGTGAAGAAGACAAATAAAAGAAAAATGGGGAAATAGAAACATTTCTAAATGAAAACAAAGTTTGGGGGGGAACTCACAAACTCAAACGTGAAAGAGCCACACAATGTCTAGAAATCGGTTTGTGATTTTTTTTAATACAACATATAATATGCCCAGAATACTATCTTTAATTTTGTTTTATTTCTTGTTTATAATTAACAATGTAATGCAATACAGCCTTTACCAATTATCTAGAGCATAATGAATGGAATTTCAAAGTATAAGTATGTGTGTTAATGGAGGTTTTTTTGCTTTGTTTTTTTTACAAAATCAAGAAAAGCAAAATACTTCTGTCTACAGTAGGTGGAGAAGGCCCCAGCTATGTTCTAATAAGGGGTGTAGGCAGGAATGAAGGGTGCTGCAAGGCCACAAGCAAGACCTACAGAGGCTCCAAGTAGTAGTGGAGTCCTTCCTACACATCTTCACGCTTTTACTAATTTGGTCAAAGATGTATATGTGTATGGATGCATATTTGAAAGATTCAAAAAGAATTTAGTGCTAGTTGGCATCATTCTCTAGAGATCATTTTCCTTATCACTGAATATTAGGCATTAGGTCAAAATGTGATTTTTCAGTTTTTCTATTTTTACTTGTAAGCCATTGCTTTTCCTCAGGCTTACTTCCATTCTCACCTTGCTTGGCCATCAGATTTCTGAGACTTAACCTCAAGGTTCCCTAAAAAAATAGTTTCAGGACAAAAATTCCTGCCTCTTTCTTTCTGCCTTAAAATCATACTAATGGGGTGAATTTCACTTATCATATGAGTATGTATGACTTCAAGATAATGTTATCTATAAGTTTAAATTTTAAGGCAGTGGGAAGGAACCCAAGCTCTTCTCTAAGTTACCCAAAGTAAAATAAAAGTGAGAGTGAGGTAGGGCTTGAAGTTGTGCTATCCCATAGGGCTGAGGGAACTGGAAAATTGAGATGCTAACGCACATACCAATAGCCAATCTGGGTATAAACTGTTTCAAAACATATTAGAAAATTCAGTAAGGGAGCCATCAGGCAAAGAGCGGGGCTAATAGGGGGGAAATATCTGAGCCAACACAATGTGAAACCAAAGGTTACCTTAAACTTTTTTTTACACTTTCCACCAAAAAGCTAAAAAGGTAAAATTGCATTTGAAAATCCTGACCTCTACATGGGTCAATAGTGGAATGGGCCTCGTGCACGAGGCCCATGGAATGTACTGGGATCCAAGTGCACATGCTCTGCTTGCCGGCAGCGTGCTACCTCAGCAGCTGACCCCAAAATGGAGAGGGAGCCAGATACCCTTAGAGTATTTAATAGCATAAATCCTTTTCCATTTAATACACTATAAAATTATGGGTTCTCTCAGTCTGTTTAAAAGATGTGCAGTCTTCAGAAAGATATATCTTTGACCAGCTTGTACTGGTCCTGTCTGTCACTGCCAGCACACTTCACCAACGACATTGCAATTGTCCTAGTTTGAGTTAACAGATCGTTGTCACTTCATAATGGAATGGACAGAAATCAAAGACAGAAAAAAGGTAATAAAGATGTCCAAAATGTAAAAATGGGGATAAAGAAAACAAAAGAAAAAGAAAAAAAAGAAGAAAGAGGATGTCAATAAAAGAATATTCATGTCAATAAAGCATTAATAGTTATGTTTTTAATAAGTAGATTCAAAAAAAGCAATGGTAAGACATATGTTGACATCAACATGACAAGGCAATGGAAATACATTACATTTTCCAACAATCAAAGTGAAAAATGCCAATCTGAAACAATTCCACCAATGCAAACTTCCATCTTGGGTAAGGCTGTGGGTCTGTGCTCAGAGAAAGCAAACTGAACTGCTTCTCCGAATACCTCTTTTCTGGTAGAGAGCAGTGAGTGGAAGACTGATGATCACAATTCAGGGAACCAGATAGGCTAATCCTCATATGGTTTCTACTTTTCATTTTTCCACTTTTTTAAAATGTGTATTTGTTTTATATTATAGATAGAACCACAGGGAATTACTGTTATTAGGTCTTTTAAAAAAAATCTAGGGGGGTGGAGGGAGGATGGGAAGAGACAGGAAAGGGAAACAAAGGAGGAGGCTACAATGCTTGATAAGAAATGTACTCATTATCTTGCCCATGTAATTGTAACCCCTCTGTACAGTATTTTCATAATAAAAAATAAAAATTGAAAAAAAATCTATAGATGGAAACCTCAAATGAATCAGCCTAACACAGAACAACTTGATTCCATGCAGTAACTAAAACACAAAGTCAAAAACTCTGCTTGCCTTAAACAAAAGAGCATGCCCTAATCTATGTCTTCCTAAGTAGTCCTTGTGGCAGGTGTCAGAGTGAATAAAGAAAAAGAGGAGAAGGAGAAAAAAAAGAAACTAATATGGGAATGCTGTACCTTTGTTCCAGCTGCCTCATGGCTGTAGTGATTTTATTGGTTTTTTCTTCTAGTTGGGCGATTATTTCATTTTTTTCTTTCAAACCGTCTTCAGAGCCCTGAATTATTTATAAAAAACGTAACAGCTATAATGGTTTTGATTTTTAAACCTGAATGTTTAAAAATTTCCCACTTGTATTTTGCAATAGAATTGTTACTTTGAAATGAGCAGAATTCATTACTTTTAAACTATTCTGTTGGGCTGGGAAGGTGGCTCAGTGGTAGAGCACTTGCCTTGCATGCCTGAGGCCCTGAGTTCGATTCTTAAGCACCACATAAGCAAAAAGAAAAAAGCCAGAAATGGTGCTGTGACTCAAGTAGTAGAGCGCTAGCCTTGAGCTGAAGCTGAGGGATAATGCCCAGGCCCAGAGTTCAGGCCCCACAACTGGACCAAAAAAAAAAAAAACAACAACAAAAACAAAAAAGGACTAGGATGTAGCCCAGTGGCAGTGTGCATGCTAAATGTGAAAAAGCCTGAGATCCATCCTTGTACCCTATAGCCCTGGGCTTAATCGCACTGCAAAGAAAGAAGAGAGAAATGAAAGGGGGAAGAAGACTAGGTACCAATGACTACCCCTGTAATCCTAGCTACTCAGGAGGCTGAAACTGAGGATCACGATTCAAAGCCAGCCTGGGCATCAGAACCAGTAAGTCTCTTTTTTATTTTTTATTTTTTTGTCAGTCATGGGGCTTGAACTCTGAGCCTGGGCGCTGTCCCTCAGCTCTTCAGCTCAAGGTGAGTGCTCTACCACTTGAGCCACAGTGCCACTTCCATCTTCTGATGGTTAACTGGAGATAAAGAGTCTCATAGACTTTCCTATCCAGGCTGGCTTTGAACTGTGATCCTCAGATCTCAGCCTGCTGAGTAGCTAGGATTACAGACATACAGCACCTGGCATCAATGAGTATTTTATCTCCAATTAACCACAAGAAAATCAAAAGTGAGGAAGTAGCACTGTGGCTCAAGTGGTAGAGCTCTAGCCTTGAGCTGAAGAGCTGAGGAACAATGCCCAGGCCCAGAGTTCAAGCCCATGACCCACCAAAAAAAAAAAAAAAAAGAAAAAGAAAAAAAGGAAGAACTAATAAAGCAACCCTTCAAAAAAAAAAAAGAAAGAAAGAAAATTAAAAGTGGTGCTGTGGCTCAAAGTGGTAGAGCACTAGCCTTGAGTGAAAAAGCTCAGGGACAGCACCATGGCTCTAAGTTCAAGCTCCATGACTGACAAAAAAAAAAAAGGAGGAGGAAGGAAGAAAAGAAGGAGAAAGAAATGGAGGAGGACTGGGAATGTGGCTTAGTGGTAGACTGCTTGCCTAGCAATGCATGAAGCCCAGAGTTCCATTCCCCAGTACCACATAAACACAAAAAACCTAAGTGGTGCTGTGGCTCAAGTGGTAGAGTGCTAGCCTTGAGCAAAAGAAGCTCAGGAACAGTGCCCAGGCCCTCAGTTCAAGCCCCAGGTCTGGCAAAAAAAAAAAAAGAAATGGAGGAAAGGAGGAATACAACTAATATATTTTTTTACTTTTTGATATATCTTCATTACATATGTTAAACTTCCATTTAGAAAAAAAAAGACTGACTTTTTTTTTGTCTGTTGTGGGGCCTGAACTCTGGGCCTGGGCACTGTCTCTCAGCTCTTCAGCTCAAGACTAGTGCTCTACCACTTGAGCCCAGCGCCACTTCCAGTTTTCTGTTGGTTTACTGGAGGTAAGAGTTTCATGGACTTTCCTGCCTGGGTTGGCTTTGAACCACAATCCTCAGATCTTAGCCTCCTGAGCAGCTAGGATTGATTACAGGCGTGAGCTACTAGCGCCTGGCAAGACACTGACTTTTAAAACCACTAGATCATAATTAAAATAGGCTCATCCTCTTAAAACCTTCCTTCAGAATATTCACTTACAATCTATATAAAAAGGAATTGGGCTGAAAATATACCTCAGAGGTAGAGCATTTCCCTGGCATGCACAAAGCCCTGGGTTCGATTCCTAGCACTGCAAACAATCTAAAAACATTCCTTACCTGCAACTTTTGATACATCTCTATGTTAATGGCTTTCACTTCTTCTAGTTGCTGCCGAAGGCCTATCAGGGTGTCTTGTTTCTCGTGGATATCTTTCTCCAACAACTTCATGGCAAGTTCAATCTCATGTTTCATACTCACTTGGACGGAAAGCTCATTCTCCACATCCTGCAATTCAAAATATCTTCAATTCATATGCCACAAATGAAATTCATGAAATAAAAGGTTCTCTACCTAACCACTCCTTTTAAATTCACTAAAGAAGAAATCAATCTGGCAGGGAATGTGGCATAGTGATAGAGTGCTTGCCTAGCATGCATGAAGCTCTGGGTTCGAAGCTGGAAGTGGCACTGTGGCTCAAGTGGTAGAGTGCTAGCCTTGAGAAAAAGGAAAAAGCAGCTCAGGGACAGTGCCCAGGTCCTGAGTTCAAGCCCCAGGATTGTCAAAAAAAAAAAAACGACGAAGGAGGAGGAGGAAGAGGTAGGAGGAGAAGCAGAAGAAGAAGGGGAAGAACGAAAAGAATCAATCTATTCTGCTCATGGAGGTACATAACTCTAATTCCAAAACCTGTGAGGATGTAGCAAAAGGATAACAAGTTCAAGACCAGACTGGGTTACATTGGGAGGCCCTGTTTAAAACAAAAACAAAAACAAGTCATCCAGGCCCTGTAACAATTAAATATTTTTTTCTTGGATACTGAGCTTTGAACTCAAAACTCTATGCCTGGTGTGAAGACATTGTATCCTTGAGTCACACCTCTAGCGAAAATGAGAGTATCTTCCATATTCTGTTAATTAACACTATTCTAACAGTTCAAGAATTAAATATGGTTATGTTTTAAATATTCAATATTACTTTGTTTTAATAAAAGCAAATGAAGTATGCATAAGACCCAAGATAACTCAAAATAGTTTATTAGTGCTGGGCCTGGGGCTTGAACTCAGTGTCTAGTATCTAGGCACTGTCCCTAAGACTTTTTGCTTAATGCTAGCATTCTACCAATTGAGCCACAGCTCCACTTCTTCTTCACTTCAAGATTTTTTGGTGGTTAGTTGGAAATAAGAATCTCATGGACTTCCTTCACAGATTGGCTTTGAACCTTGATCCTCAGATCTTAGCATCCTGAGTAGCTAGGACTACAGACATGAGCTACTGGTACCTGGCAGTTTTCTTTTCTTTAAAAGAAAATTACCAGCTGGGCCTCCATGGCTCATGCTTGTAATCCTAGCTACTCAGGAGGCTGACATTTGAGGTTCGTGATTTGAAGCCAACCCATGCAAGAAAGTCTGTGAGACTCTTACCTCCAATTAACCACCAAAAAAGCTGGAAATGATGCTGTGGTTCAAAGTGGTAGAGGCTTAGGAACAGTGCCTGGGCCCTAACTTCAAGCCTCACGATTAAAAAGAAAGAGAGAGAGAGAGAGAGAGAAAGAGAAGGAAAGAAGGAAGGAAGGAAGGGAGAGAGGGAGGGAGGGAGAGAGAGAGAGAGAGAAAGAGAAGGAAAGAAGGAAGGAAGGAAGGGAGAGAGGGAGGGAGGGAGAGAGAGAGAGAGAGAAAGAAAGAAAATTATGAGAGCTAGGTATGGGTGGCACATACTGTAATCCCAGGTAGTAAGTAGGTGGAGGGAAAGAATCACAAGTTTGAGGCCAGCCATCCCAGGAAGTTAATGAGAATCTATCTCAAAGACAAAAATGAACAAAAGGGCTGGGGGTATGGCTCAAATTGTAGAGCACCTGCCAGGCATGCATGAGGTCCTGAGTTCTGTCTCCACTAACATAAACACACACATTCAGTTAAAGGATAGGGAAGAAATTTAGTGATAAACTCATCCCTGGCAGGGATGAGGTCCTTGATTTGACCCCCAATACAGAAGAAGAAAAAAACCCCTCAAATTAAGCAAGTTTCTTAGCTGGGCACCAATGGTTCATGTCTATAATACTAGCTACTCAGGAAGCTAAGATTTTAGGATTTTGGTTTAAAAACAGCCAGGGCAGGAAAGTCTTTAAGACTCTTATTTCTAATAAAGTACCAAAAAGCCCAAATGGAGCTGTGACTCAAGTGGTAGAATGCTAACCTTGGGCAAAAAAGTTCAGGGACGGGCTGGGAAGGTGGCTCAGTGGTAGAGCGCTTGCCTTGCATGCCTGAGGCCCTGGGTTCGATTCCTCAGCACCACATAACCAGAAAACAAAAGCCAGAAGTGGCAATACGGCTCAAGTGGTAGAGTGCTAGCCTTGAGCTGAAGAGCTAAGGGACAGCACCCAGGCCCAGAATTCAGGCCCACGACCGGACCCAAAAAATAAAAAGTTCAGGGACAACACCCAAGCTCTATATTCAAGCCTTAGAACTGGAAGAGAGAAGAGAAGCAAGAGGAAAGAGATGAGAGGAAGAGAGAAGGGAGGGGAGGGGAAGGGAAAGAAGGGGAGAGAAAGGGAAAGGGAAGAAGGGAAGAGAGAGGAGAGAGAAAAGTTTCCTTACAATAAAGAGAAACAGGAAAAGGCTGGCAATATTCTCTTCTAGACCTGGATAGTACAGTCAGAAGTATCTGCCATTATTTTCATTAAATGGTTCTTACGCATTTCCTGCATATATGTAATTTGAAAGATTAAAAAAAGTTATTTGAAAATAATTTGCATTATTCTCTTCCACTGCATTTTTGTTTTTTTTTTCTTGGGTCCGGTCATAGGCCTGAACTCTGGGCCTGGGTGCTGTCCCTCAGCTCTTCAGCTCAAGGCTAGCACTCTACCACTTGAGCCGTAGTACCACTTCTGACTTTTGTTTTATGGTTATGTGGTGCTGAGGAATCGAACCCAGGGCCTCATGCATGCAAGGCAAGCGCTCTACCACTGAGCCACCTTCCCAGCCCCACCACTGCATTTTTGTAATGCTGCTCACATTCCATTCATTTTAGCCACAGATTTTTTTTTTTTTTTTTTGCCAGTCCCGGGGCTTGAACTCAGGGCCTAGGCACTGTCACTCAGCTTCTTTTGCTCAAGGCTAGCACTCTACTACTTGAGCCACAGTGCCACTTCCAGCCTCTTCTGTTTATTTGGTCCTAAGGAATCCAACCCAGAGCTTCATGCATGCTAGGCAAGCACTCTACCATGAAGCCACATCCCAGCCCTAGCCATAGATTTCAATTCACAGTTTCAAAAACACTACTAGAGTGAGAGCTTAAAGAATGCAAAAGCATATGGTGTGTGCCTACAGTGCAGCAAAGCAGTGGCTGGGAGTGATGGGTAGAGCGTGCTTGAGGACTGTGATCTTGGCACTGTGATGGAAGCTACCTGCCGGAGCTGTGACTCATCTCGAAGCTGCCTTCTGGCATCATTGTACATTTCATCCAGACCCTGCCGAGAATGTTTGTAGGTTTGAAGCTCAGTTTCCACATCCACTTTGGTCACCTGGTAAGAAAACACCAAAGGTTTCTGTAACCTAGCTCCTATGAGCTAACACTTAGGTTTCACCAGAAGAATATCTGACCACAGACAGTCTTACCTCCATATGCTGCTGTGTTTTCATTAAAATCAATTTATTCTCACTTCGCAATTGGTGGTTTTCTTCTTGTAGTTTAATGATATTATTCTTTGCTATTGCTAACTGAAAATTATGAATCAGAAACAAAAATATTTGAACATATTTACAGGTAATCTTGATGGCTATAAAAAGAAAAAATGTCTCACATTTGCAGTTTCATAACAAAAATTGCTGCATAATCTACAGATACTAATTTTTAAAATTATACTCACCTCATTTTGTACTATTCCTTATTTTCTTTTACAGCTGAAACTCATTATGCTTATTTATTATGTGTATTATAAACAGAATGCTTACTGTTAGATTTGCAATATGTCCCAAACACATTGTAGGAGTAAGCGTATAAACAATTATGTGTCAAACAAGAAGACTGTTAAGACATGTATAAATAGACAAATGTGTGTAGGGAGAGCAGGTTGAGACAACACTGAGAATATAACAGCTATTCATGGAAAGTAAATGGAACACCGCACAGAAGTAACAACAGGACACGGACAGGAAATCACTGGCAGCTGTCACCATCCATCCAACTAGCTGAAAAGCAACCTAGGAAAGCAAAGTAGGGGCCAGTTTCTAAAGGCAACTTGCAACAAATGCATTATCAAGGATCTAATTTGAGCTTCTTTGGCAGACTAGAGTCAGGCAAAGGCAAACCCATCACTAGTGCCACCATCAATGTGCAGAAGTGTTCTTGATTGCCGCCATGCAAACTATCATTCCTGGTTTGGAAAAACACCAGACCAGTTGGGAATGAAAAAGTAAGAATTTTAGGGCTCAGAACGTGGCTTAGTGGTAGAGGGCTTGCCTAGCACGCATGAAGCCCTGAGTTCAATTCCTCAGTACCACATAAAAAGAAAGTAGCCGGAAGTAGTGCTGTCTCAAGTGGTAGAGAGCTAGTCTCTAGCCAAAAGAAGCTGAGGCACAGGGCCCAGGAGTTCAAGTCCCAGGACTAGGGAGAAAAAATATTTCTATTCAACATTGAATTAATTGAATTAATAAAAAGGTGCTTCTAGTCAGGCGCTGATGACTCATGCATAAATCCTAGCTACTCAGGAGGCTAAGATCTGAGGATTGGTTCAAAGCCAGCCTGGGTAGGAAGGTCCGTGAGACTATCTCCAGTTAACCACCAGAAAACCACAAGTGGCACTATGGCTTGTGGTATAGCACTCACCTTGAGCTGAAGAGCTCAGGGATAGTGCCCAGGCACAGAGTTCAAGCCCCACGACTGAAGGAAAAAAAAAAAGCTGCTTCTAATGGTCTGAATAAAAATTAAAATAGGAAGCACTAATCCCTTGGATATATTTTTCTTAAAGAAACTTTTCTAAAAAAGCAACTCTACAAGTAATATTCAAGAGTCGAGTTTTGTTTTGTTTTTTTTAAAGATAAAGTAGTTACTCTACAAATGAGCTTTGGAATGGCTAGAGGCCAAGTTCACAGCAGTTTTACAGAGGGTGGAGGAGGGGCAGGTCAGCCGTGCAGAGACATTTCTGATAAGCAGAGCTACAGGGACACGGTCACTTCAGGATTTCTAACTAAAGGTCATTCTACTACCTAGCTATAGGCCACTGGGCTCTCTCTTTTCCTTTCTTTCTTTCCTTCCTTCTTTCCTTTACTTTTCTTTTCCTTCCTTCCTTTCTTCTTTCCTTCCTTCCTTCCCTTATTTATTTATTTTTTGCTAGTTCTTGGGCTTGAACTCAGGGCCTGAGTACTGTCCATGAACTTCTTTTGCTCAAGGCTAGCACTCTGCCACTTGAGCCACAGCACCACTTCCAGCCTATTCTGTTTATATGGTATGGAGGAAGAAAACTCAGGGCTCCATGTGTGCTAGGCAAGCATTCTACCACTAAGCCACATTCCCAGCCACATTTTATTTTTTGACGGCTGTGAGGCTTGAATTCAGGGCCTTGGCGCTCTCCCTGAGCCTCTGTGCTCAAGGCTAGCTCACTATGAGCCACAGCCCCAGTTCTTGTTTTTGAGTGTTGGAAATAAGACTCACAAGTACTTTTTTCTGCCCAGGCTGGCTTTGAATTGTGATTCTCAGAGCTCAGCTTTTTGAGTAGCTAGGATTACAGGCAAGAGCCACCAGTGCCCAGATCTTTTTTTTCTTTTCTTTTTTTTTTTTAATGTCTGTTCTGGTACTTGAATTCAAGGCCTGGGTGCTCTAGGATAGTGCTCTACCACTTTGAGCCACAGCTCCATTTCAGGCTCTTTGGTAGTTCATTAGAGATGAGAGGCTCACAGATATTCCTGCCCCGGCTGGCTTTGAACCCTGACCCTCATATCTCAGCCTCCTGAGCAGCTAGGATTACAGACATGAGTTGCCAGTACCTGGCTCATCCTGCTTTCAAATGAGAGTTATACCGTATCAACACAACAGTTTGGGTAAGCCACAACTTATTTCCAGAAGTTGGGAATCACTGATAATGCTACCTCACGAATACAAATAACACAATTTGCCTAAGAATATGAGATCTGTCTAGAATTTATCATCACCAATTACAACTGCAAGCATTCTATCGCAATGAAAGTGTGTGTTTGCACACATACACTTATGTACACACATAGCTTCATACTTAAAATGGAAAAGGAACACAAGCAAATGATCCGTGAAAGACAATTATCCACTACTAGGTGACAATACCTCTTCAATCAGCTTAGTATTTGACTTTTCCAATGAATCAACTCTGGAATGGAGGGTGCTGACTGTACTGCTGAAATTAGCAAAGAAAAAAATCCATTCAAAATCAGGTAAACTCACAAAGGCAGAAAAGAGTACATTATGTGGACTCATTATGTTATCATGCATCAACTACCTTGAATGAATTTCTGAATGTGGGTGACTTCATTAACTTGATTTGGCTAGGATCACAATGAAGACTGCAGCAAAAGAACAACTTTTCTACTAATACTCCACTGGTACTGCTTACTCTTTAAACTGGGGATCAAACCTTAATATGCTCCAAGTACTCTGTTCCTGAGCTATATTCCCAGGCCTTTGGTTTTCTGAGACACAGTCTTACTATGTAAGTTATGCTGATCTGGAATTCATGATCCTCCCATCTCTGTCTTCCCAAGTGCTGGGATTACAGGCATACACCACCAAGTCTGGCTCTCATTTTTTTTTATTACCTTCGCAGGGTCTTTTTCTTTTTTCTACTTCTCGATTTTCTTTTTGAAGCTACTTACAACTGAATTCAGGACCTTGCATATACTAGAAAAGTATACGACCACTCAATTTGTATTCCTTACTTCGTACAATTAACCGATAATGTCTGGGAATGGAAATTACATACAAAGCTTACTGAACATTGCTAAATTTTACAGAAAACACTGAGAATATAACACAGCCTGGGCTCTGTCCCTGAGCTCTCTAGCTCAAGGCTGTGCCACTTCCTGTTTTCTGATAGTACTATTGGAGATAAGAGTCTCACAAGCCAGCAGGTGGCTCACACCTGTAATCCTAGATACTGAGGAGGCTGAGATCTGAGGATTGCAGTTCAAAGCCAGCCAGAGCAGCAAAGTCCGTGAAACTCGTATCTCCAACAAACCACTAGAAAACTGGAAGTGGCGCTGTGGCTCAAGTGGTAGAGCGCTAGCCTTGAGCTGAAGAGCAGAGGGACAGAGCCCAGGCCCAGAGTTCAGGCCTCATGAACGGACCCAAAAAAAAAAAGTCTCACAGACTTTCCTATTTGGGCTGGCTCTGAACTGTACTTTTCAGATCTCAGCCTCCTGAGTAGCTAGGATTACAGGTGCAAGCCACCGATGCCTGGCTTGATACCTAATATTTTTATTGATAGAGATGTGAGTCTTGAAGATGTTTTTTGCATGGGCTGGTCTTGAACCTTGACCATCTCAATTTCTGCATCCTATTAGATAGACCACAGGGATGAGCCACTGTGCCTGGCAGTAAAAAATATTTTAAAGGACAAATTTAAATGTATACTTTATAATTATATGGCTTTATTAAAGCATATAAACTGACATTTTCAAGCCTCATTCTGATTGCCCTCTCTACTTTCATAACTCAGAAACCTAGAAAGACACATAGTTTAAGAAATATGAGGGGCTGGGAAGGTAGCTCAGTGCTAGAGTGCTTGCCTTGCATGCATGAGGCCCTGGGTTCGATTTCTCAGCACTACATAAGCAGAAAAAGCCGGAAGTGACGCTATGGCTCAAGTGGTAGAGTGCTAGCCTTGAGCTGAAGAGCTGAAGGACAGCGCCCAGGCCCAGAGTTTAGGCCCCACCATCAGCAAATAAAAAAGAAGAAATATGAATATGAGATAGCCAGTGTTGGGGATTTGGTCCACCCTAGGCTGGACACCCTATTTTCCAAAGATATACATACTCGAAAATCAAGTGACATCATATAAGCAAACTTATTGTTTGTGTTTTGTTTAAGTGGGTCAGGAATGGACATTATCATGGATTTTCCTAGGTTTCTTTTCCCAAGCCTGCTTATTGACACACCTAAACTTTCCCCAGTAAAATACAACTGGCACACAACAAACATTCTATCAGTTTGTTGTTTTGGGGTTTGGGGGGTTTTTTTGGTCAGTTGTGGGGCTTAAACTTTGGTCCTGGGTGCTGTCCCTGAGCTCTTCAGCTCAAGGCGAGAGCTCTACCATTAGAGCCACAGTGGCACTTCTGGTTTTCTGGTGGTTAATTGAATATAAGAGATAAGAGTCTTAGGATCTTTCCTGCCCCAGCTAGCTTTGAACTGCAATTCTCAGATCTGAGCTCCTGAGTAGCTAGGAGTATAAGCATGAGCCACCAGTGCCTGGCTTTCCATCAGATTTATAAACTAGTTTGGTACTTAAATTGTTTGTAAAGTAAGAAAAATGTTTATCCATTCATATTATTTTGGTGGTATAGTTTCAATGGTAAAGGCTCCAAGTTCAAACCGTAGTTCCTCCAAAACGAGAACAAAATATTGTACCTTAGGTATAATAATTCACAGGCAAACATATGAATTATCCCACAACCTGCACGCCAGCAAGTTAAAGGTAAGACTATTAGAATAGGCCTGAGAAATGCAAGATCATGGTGTGGCCTTGCCTCCTACTTTGTAACTGTGTCACCTTGAAAGTTATAAACCTTTCTGGACTTCAGTTCCCTTTTTATTTTACATCCAGTCATTTTAGATTCCTTTCTATTAAGTCAGACAACAGCTGGGCACTGGTAGCTCATGCCTATAATCCCAGCTACTCAGCAGGTTGAGATCTGAGGATCACAGTTCAAAGCCACCAGTGGCTCAAAATGGTAGAGCACTAGCCTTGAGCAAAAAGAGCTCAGGAATAGCTGCCCTGGCCCTGAGTTTAAGCCTCAATGATCGACGAAACAAAATAAAATAAAAAATAAAATCAGACAATAATATCTGCCTTGCCTTTAAATATGACAATCAATACCATAACAGAAACAAATGCTTTGTTGGAGGAGTTGCCTTGGACTGTGTGTGTATGTCGGGATGGGGGGGGGGGGGGGGGGAGTTGAACTCAAGAGCCTGGGCTCTCACTCTGAACTGTTTTTTTCAAGGGTACGTGGGTAGTCTACAGCTTTAACTACAGGCCCACTTCTGGACTGGAGATAAGAATCTCACAGGAGGGACAGGGGTCAGTGGCTCATGCCTGTAATCCTAGCTACTCAGGAGGCTGAGATCTGAGGATCTCAGTTTGAAACCAGCTTGGGCATAAAAGTCCTGTGAGACTCTCCATTAAACTACTCAGAAAAAGCCAGAAGTGGTGCTGTGGCTCAAGTGGTATAGCACTAGCCTTGAACACAAAGAGGCGCCCAGGGCTGGCAAAAAAAGTCTCACAGTCCTAACTGCACAGGATGGCTTTGAACTTTGATCCTCCTATCTCAGACTCCTAAGTAACTAGGATTACAGGTGTGAGCCTTGAACATTCTTTTGAGACAAGGTCTCACTATATAGCTTAGGCTGGCCGTAAACTGAGCCTCTGTCTCTTGAGTGCTAGGATTACAGGTGTATACCACCAAACTTAGCTGTAAAATACCTTATAATTTTTATATTCATATTGAAATATATTTAGTCATATTGGATTAAACTATATTATCAAATTCTTTAGTTTTAATGTGGTTGCCAGAAATTTTACAGTAGTCTCTTATCTTGCATTATATTTCTGGTAGAGGTGCACTAGACTGTAATGAGAAAACTTCTTCCACAGACAATGGCCATTTACACATGAAGGAAACCCTCTGAGATAGAAAAAGGAGTCTCTGAGCCATCAAAATACTATAAACTTTCACCTTATCTAGGGTATGGTGACAAGTTTAAAGTTCTATATAACTTCTATGAAGATTCAAAACTGGACTCTAATCTTCTGCTGATATGAATAATTCTCTGGGGTGTTTTTTGTTGTTGATGTTTTTTAAACAGTGTAGAGAAGGGCTGTGTCGGGCTGGGAAGGTGGCTCAGTGGTAGAGCGCTTGCCTTGCATGCCTGAGGCCCTGGGTTTGATTCCTCAGCACCACATAAGCAAAAAGAAAAAAGCTGGAAGTGGCACTGTGGCTCAAGTGGTAGAGCACTAGCCTTGAGCTGAAGAGCTGAGGGACAGTGCCCAGGCCCAGAGTTCAGGCCCACTACCGGACCTCCCCCCCCCAAAAAAAAGAGAGAAGGGCTGTGTCTGCCAAGTAAGTGCTCTACTGCTGAGCTGTACCCAGCCACTCCATCGCTCCCATTTCTGTTCTCAGTTATCCCCTCTTAGAACAGGATTAAGCTGAAAACAAAACCCTAAAGCAATATTTATAAATTTGCTAAGTATCCATAATACTTACTTGAGCTGTCTGTTTAATTCTTCAACGTAATTCTTTTGATCTAAGATGGCTGCAATTTGAACATTCCTGGGGGGAAAGAATATTTTTGTGCTAGTGGGAAGGGTAGAAAAAATTTAAATCATCTAAAAAGTGTTGTAACACTGTAATAGTAAAACATTGTTTGCCTTTAAAACAAAACTGAAGAATCTTTGTTATCACCTAGAAGTGAGCTGCGTACCAAGTAACTAACACTTCGTTGAATGAATTACTTGCTAATATTTGACTTAACCATGCCATTATAGTTTAAACTTAAGCCTGAAATACACTGTCACTATTTTAAAAAATACAGGTATCAGTAAGGACAAGTTTGACTGAAAGTATAACTTCATACTAAAGGCACATTCTTCTATGTGATATTTATATGTCTTAAAAGCTTTTAAAGGAAGTAAATAGAAAATAAAGCAGAAACCACAGGGGCATGGGAAGGAGCATGAACTACACTGTGAATTTCAAATTTATTTGTAAAACTATAAAAAAAAAACATGCAGAATAACATAAAAATCATACCTCTCTTTATTTCCAATATCTTCTTCATTCTTTAAATACATGGAAAAATCAATCACTCCAACCTAAAGTTAATAAAATTATTTTATGTGATTAGAACAAATACCTTATCAGAAGTACCATCAATGCGTGATGGTTAATTTTGACTACCAACTCGGCTAGACTGATAAGACACTTAGGAGATTAGTAAAGAGACCTCTGGCTGAGTCTGTGGGGGCATTTCCGGATCATCAGGGCTCTGCTCTGATCAATGGTCTAATCCAGCAGTAGATTCAAACTCGGAAAAGACTACTTACTTCAAGGTGGTGGGAAAATGGAAGGTAAGGCCTAGTGGGAAGAAGCTGTGGCTGGGGGCATGCCTTTGAAGGATGGATCTTGGCCTTGGCCCCTTCCTGTTATCCTCTCCATTTCCTGGGGAGCAGCTTTTCTCTGCCACCCCCTCCTGCCCCACCATAGGTCCCAGAGCAATAGAGCAAGTTGACCATGGGCTGAAAACTCAAACTCTGAGCCAAAATAAATCCTTCCACCTGAAGTTGCTTTTCTCAGACACAGCAATGACAAATCCGATATACCGTGCAACTGAATTATGGTTCTCATTAAGTGATTAACAGCACTATTTATAACTTAAAGGAACCCTATATCAAGGAGGAAGTGTGCAAACGAAAGCACCGTGCTCACTTACTTGTGAGTCTAAATCTTCGCCCTTTACACACAGATTAGCATCTATCACATTCAGGCCAACCAGCAGCCCAACAATTACTGTTCCTTCTTCTTCCATCATTAACGCATGATACTCATAGAACTCACTGTGGAAATTAGAACAAAATCAAATTGATCAATCACAAATTGATCTCTAAAACTAAATTTTGAAACCTTAGCATCTTACCTTCCTTATCTTCAATCCTATAAACATGAAAATAGTCTAAATGCCTTCAGATTAGCCTTACATGTTAACTTTCCAAAATGTAAATGCATATATATAAATATTAAAAGAAAAAGACTGAGAAGTGGCACTGTGGCTCAAAGTGGTAGAACACTAGCCTTGAGCAAAAAAAAACCTCAGGGATATCACCCAAGCTCTGAGTTCAAGCTCCAAAACAAATTTGGAGAGGAAGGGAGAAAAGCGGAGGGGAAGGAGAAGTAGGGAAGGAGGATGGGAGGAGAAGGGTTGGGAATGAAGAGATGCCACTGAGACTTGGCATATTTGACTCCCAGAAGGTCACAGTGACTCTTGATAATCTGATTATACTTTTTATTAGAGCTGAATTTTCCATCCCAGGATTCATTAAAACCTCTGGGATAAAGACTAAAGTCAGAAAGGACTATGAAACATTCCAGCGCTCAAGCTGAACTGATGATCATTGACTAAAGACATGGATATTGACATTTTTTTAAATGTTCAATTGAGACTTGTGAAAGAAATAGGATAGTCTAAAAGCTCAGACTTGTCCATCTATATTCAGAGAATACTTATCCCTGTATTATGCCTTCATTAATAAATCCCATATGTGTCCCTTAATCATTTCAATTCATCTTCAGAACACTACTAAAAAATAGCAGTACTTATGTATGGTCACTCTCGATTAACAAACAGGAAATCCAAGATACAAAACCTGAATGACAAAAGCAAACTCAGGGCCATGCTCCCACATTTGCTAGCGCCTCAGAGAGGTAGGTGCTCCAGGAGGATGAGAAGGGCAGCCCTGGGCCCACACCCTTCACACAGATCTCTTTCTCTCAGAGTCTGCCCTAAATATTCCCTTCAGCTTAAGCATGCTCGCTATGATGCATTTATTTAGATATTCAACATTTAAGAAAAATAATTAAACTCCAAAATGCCAAAGTAAATATTTAGCCACAGAATTAACTATAATTCGGAAAAATGAAATTAACAGAAATATATATAATTTTGCCCATATTGGATGATAAAAAAGCAGCAAGTGGTATTTAGGTTTGGGGCTTGTTTCTTTTTTTGGGGGGGGGTCCGGTCATGGGGCTTGAACTCTGGGCCTGGGTGCTTTCCCTCAGTTCTTCAACTCAAGACTAGCACTCTACCACTTGCTTATGTGGTGCTGAGGAATCGAACCCAGGGCCTCAGGCATGCAAGGGAAGCGCTCTACCACTGAGCCACCTTCCCAGCCCCGGGGCTTTTTTCTGATCTATACTGTACCCCATACTGTTTTCATCTGTTTTATTTCTTTTATTATAGAGCATCTTATTGTATCACATATATCTTTTCAAATAGCTTCAATCCTTTTTGGAAGATAGGACAAGGTAAAAACTGAAAATAAACATGATTTAATGGTACTAACCTCAAGAGATCCCTCTGAATAATTAAGCAGCGCAGGTAATCAGCCATTTTTTTTTGCATGAGAGCTAATCGAAGCCAGGCTCTTGCTCGACCCAGGGGGGTCCTAAAAGAAAAAACCAAACTGATTATTCAGAAAAACAGCCTTTGCTCAGAGACCATGAACTATACATGTTTTATCTCCACTGATGTGGAGATAACAAATAAAAAAGACATTGTTACCATATTTTCATTTTTTTATGTTAATAGTTTTAAGCTCGTTTTTTGTTTTTTAGGAACCAAACTAATCTTTAGTAAAAGCTCAGTCTGCTCTTGCAGAACACTTTCTCCTTTTTGGGGGGGAGCTAAGGGGATTTGTAAACTTGGTTGGCTGGCACCCCTACAAACTGAGCCATACCAAGTACCCTTTTCATTTACACTTTGTTAGTTTTTGAATGGGGTATCAAGTTACAACCAGACTGGACTAGCTGTAATCCTAAATCTTTCTCTTGTTGCTAGACTGACAGGACTGCATCACAATGTCCTGATTGTTCTGTTGAGACAGGAGTCTCCAATTAACCAGCAAAAAGCCAGAAATGGAGCTGTGACTCAAGTGGTAGACTACTACTTTTGAGCCAAAAAGCTCAGGGACAGCACCCAGGCATGAGTTCAAGGCCCAGCACTGGTGCCCAGGCCCAGAGTTCAGGCCCCATGACTGGCCAAAAAAAAAAAATGTACTCATTATCTTGCCCATGTAATTGTAACCCCTCTGTACAGTATTTTCACAATAAAAAAATAAATAAAAATTTAAAAAAAGAAGGGCTGGGAAGGTAGCTCAGTGGTAGAGTGCTTGCCTTGCATGCTCGAGGCCCTGGGTTCAATTCCTCAGCACCACATAAGCAAAAAGAAAAAAGCCGTAAGTGTTGCTGGGACTCAAGTGGTAGAGCGCTAGCCTTGAGCTGAAGAGCTGAGGGACAGTGCCCAGGCCCAGAGTTCAGGCCCCACGACCGGACCCCAAAAAAAAATATACTCATTACCTTACTCATGTAATTGTAACCCCTCTGTACAGTATCTTTACAATAAAAAATATTTAAAAATATGAAAAAGAAAAAAAAGAGTCTCAGGGAGTTTCCTGCCCAGACTGGCTTCAAATTGTGATCCTCAGATCTCAGCCTTCTGAATAAGATTAGGCATGAGCCACTAGCTCCAGCACCAGTTGTAAGATACTTAAAGGGGCAATAAATGCATCTCTGTGAGTAAGGATGAGCAACTATAATAAGATTACTTACTTAAGACCAGGTAAATCCCGGACACTGGCTCCTATTTCCTCTGCTTCTGGGTAGAGCTTTTCCACCAATTCCAAAGGGCCCCAAATAGTTTTGTTATAACTCAAAAATGACTTTCTTACTGGAAAGAAGAAAATATAATGTACACAATTCCAACATGTACAAGTGTAACAACTTTATCTTATTTCAACATTTCTAACTACCATTTTTTAGAGACCTTTTCATTCTTTTAACTACTGCATAGCCTCATTGGTGAGTAACCTGTTCAATCAGGATCCTGTTGTCCCTCCTGCTACTTTTGGTTATACCAGAAAAGTGTGCCTTGTCCATTTTTTCATGCCAAATATATGCAGAATGTTGCGAGCTGGGGGCTCACAACTGTAATCCCAGCTACTCAGGAGGCTGAGATCTGAGGATTCAAGATCTAGCCCACCCCTGGCAGAAGAGTCCTAGAAATTCTAACTTAAATTATCCAGTAAAGTCAGATGCCAGTGGCTCACACCTGTAATCCTCCCTACTCAGGAGGCTTAGATAAGAGGATCTCTGTCTAAAGCCAGCCTTGGCAGGAAAGTATATGAGACTTATCTTCAATTAACTACCAAAATGCTAAAGGGGAGCTATGACTCAAGTAAGTGGTAAAGTGCTAGCCTTGAGTAAAAAGAAGCATGGGGACAGTGTCCAGGCCCTGAGCTCAAGCCCCCAGACTGGCTAAATAAATAAATAATGCAAAAAGAATTAATGGCATGGCTCAATCACTAGAGCACCTGCCCAGCAAGTACAAAGCCCTAAGTTTAAACTTCAGTACCACCAAATATATATATATATATTTTTTATTTACTTATATATATTTGGTGATACTGGTTTATATATATATGTATATATATATATATATGTATGTGTATACATTTTTTAGGGGCTAGGGTATAACTTAATGGTAAGGCATGATACCATATCAAGTTCAGGATTATTTTCACTTTATTCTGACACTGGTCTTAATGACCAGATCTTCTACAGATAAAATTACAATGTACCTATCATATGCATTGCTCAGCTAGGCAAATTTTCCTTTGGAGAGAAAGTCACAAGCACAAAATAGAAAATAACAGTATATTGAAAAAGCCCGAAGTGGCACTGTGACAAGTGGTAAAGTGCTAGTCTTGAGCAAAAGAGGCTCAGGGACATTGCCCAGGAACTGAGTTCAAGCCCCAGGACTGGCAAAAAACAAAAACAAAAACTGAAAATAACTGTATAATTATCCTAGAGAACAGTTCAGGGTACATGTTGAAAAAAAAAGTAAATCCTGGGGCTGGGAAGGTGGCTCAGTGGTAGAGTGCTTCCCTCATATGCATGAGGCCCTGGATTGGATTCCTCAGCACCACATAAACAGAAAAAGCTGGAAGTAGAGCTATGGGTCAAGTGGTAGAACGCTAATCTTGAGCTGAAGAGCTGAGGGACAGAGGGCCCAGGCCCGGAGTTCAAGTCTCAGGACCGACCAAAATACAAAATAAATAAAAAAAAATTTTTTAAAGGTAAATAACATGCAACTGGCTGGTTCTGTGGTGTTGGTGGGAGGCCAGGGTCTGACACACATGAGGCAGTCTATCATTGACCCACATCTCTCACCTCAGATAGCTTTAAACACAATAGTAACATCAAGCACTTTCTGAAGATCATCTGTTAGGAAACAGACTAGTAATACTTCCTTTCAAAATCAATCCACTTAATATTTACACATGTAAAGTAACAGGAATTATGGCCTCAACATACACATTTTCAAAGACATTTAAGATGAAAAGGAGGGATTCTAAACTGTATGATAATTTTTTGGAAAATTCTAGTACCTTTAAGACCATGTTTCAGACAGTGTTCCATTACAACAAAGAATTGCTGCAGAGGGGGATAGTCCGAGTCCAAAGTGCGGCCAAAGCTTAGCGCAGATTCAATGAGTCCTTTGATGCTCAGCTTTGCCATGTTCAACAGGTTGGCTCTCTCTACTGCAATGGGGTCTTTTGTAGCTGAAAGCATAAAAGGAGTCTGGCATCATTTCTCAGATATGACAAGGAGAGAGATACATAACATCCTCCCCTGATAAAACCAGCAGGGGCTTTGCCTTGGTGGAAAACTAATTGCTTCTTCAAGCCAAATTTAACTATAACCTTCTTAACTACCGTTTATATCTCTCTCCCACATACCACAGTACACTACCAAGGCCTACCCCATTTGCTAGCACTCTACCACCTGAGCCACACTTCCAACCTCTAAACTATTCTCCAAATCTAAAAATTTGGCATTCTCCTGGATTTCTTTTGTTTTTGTGGGATCTCTTCAGAGTATAGCTTTTTAAAGACTTTCTGTGTAGATAGAAATTTTAAGGGTGGGGGGCTGGGAAGGTGGCTCAGTGGTAGAGCGCTTGCCTTGCATGCTCAAGGCCCTGGGTTCGATTCCTCAGCACCACATAAGCAAAAAGAAAAAAGCCGGAAGTGGCGCTGTGGCTCAAGTGGTAGAGCGCTAGCCTTGAGCTGAAGAGCTGAGGGACAGCGCCCAGGCCCAGAGTTCAGACCCCACGACCGGACCCAAAAAAAAAAAAAAAAAAGAAATTTTAAGGGTGGGCTGGGAAGGTGGCTTAGTGGTAGAGTGCTTGCCTTGCATGCATGAGGCCCTGGGTTCAATTCCTCAGCACCACATAAACAGAAAAAGCTGGAAGTGGTACTGTAGCTCAAATGGTAGAGCACTAGCCTTGAGCTGAAGAGCTGAGAGATCATGCCCAGGCCGAGTTCAGGCCCCACGACTGACCAAAAAAAAAAAGAAAGAAAGAAATGAAATGTTTATGTAAATGAACAGTAGGTATGGAATAAGGGTGAAATGTTCAGAATAAACTGGTAATCACATAAAAGGTACAGTTCTAAGATTCCAGTATCTCCCACAACATGACATATAAAGCATACAATGAGGATACAAGAAAATATGATCCCTGGGGCTGGGAAGGTGGCTCAGTGGTAGAGCACTTGCCATGCATGCATGAGGCCCTGGGTTTGATTCCTCAGCACCACATAAGCAAAAAAAAAAGAAAAGAAAATATGATCCCTTTTTTAGTCATTTCAACCCTCTGTTTGCATTGATTGTTTTGTTTTTTGTTGTTATTGTTGTTTTTATTGTTTGGGTTGTGGGGCCTGAACTCTGGGCCTGGGCACTGTCTCTCAGCTCTACCACTTGAGCCACAGCACCACTTCCGGGTTTTTTCTTTTTGCTTATGTGGTACTGAGGAATTGAACCCAGGGCCTCATGCATGCAAGGCAAGCGCTCTACCACTGAGCCACCTTCCCAGCCCCTTCTTTGTTTTTTTTTAATGCAGGTTTCTTTTTTTTTTGTGCAGGTACTAAGGTCTGAACTCAGCCCTTAGCTTTTCACTCAAGGTTAGTGCTCTACCACTTGAGCCAAGCTCTACATCCAGCATTTTGGTAGTTAATTGAAGATGAAGAGTATCAAGGACTTTCCCGCCAGGACTAAGTTAGAACCATTAGCCTCAGAACTCTGCCTTTAATTATTTTGTATGACTGCTTTAAAAGTTTCTCATCCTTCTAAACAGCTGACCAAGTCCGCTGTTTCATAATACCAAAAGACACATCTTTTTCTTTCTTTTCTTTTTTGGTCCATCACAGGGCTTGAACTCTGGGCCTGGGAGTTGTACCTGAGATTCTTCACTCAAGGCTAGCACTCTTTTTTTTTTGGTTGGTCATGGGGCTTGAACTCTGGGCCTGGGCGCTGTCCCTCAGCTCTTCAGCTCAAGGCCAGCGCTCTACCACTTGAGCTACAAAGCCACCTCCAAAGCTAGCACTTTTATCACTTGGAGCCACAGCTCCACTTCCTGTTTTCTGGTGGTTAATTGCGTTTCCTGCCAGGTCTGGCTTTCAGCCATGATCCTCAGATCTCTGCCTCTTGAGTAGCTAGGATTACAGGTGTGAACCAGCAGCATCTGGCTTTTTAAATGTTTTTATGGTTACTAAAAGACACCTCTTAACGTCCTAATTGCTAATTGATATGTTCAAATCAAAGAAAAATATTTCCTTTCCCACAATTTTTTCTCTTAGAAATTGAGTCATATGGGGCAGGGAATGTGGCTTAGTGGCAGAGTGCTTGCCTACTATGCATAAGGCCCTGGATTTGATTCCTCGGTACCATATAAACAAAATATAAATAAGATTAATTTAAAAGAAAAAAGAAATCGAGTCAGACATTGTTGTAGCTTGTTTTCAGCAAACCACCAACGAAACTGGCATTTCGTAGTCTCTGACAAAGTGTCCATTTTAGTTTCGTGCCGTTCTTGGGATCCAGGGACCTTGCGTAGGCCAGGCACGTACAGCACCACTGAGCCACACGCCCAGCCTTAAGTGTCCTTATTTTAAGCAGCACAGATCGAGAATCGAGGCCAGCCTGGGTTGCATAAGGAGACTCTGTCTCGAATCCTCCACCCTTAAAAAGCAAACCCAGCATTCCCAAAGATCTAGCAGTCTCCTTGGGGCTAAGGTCCACGGCAGGGAGCCTAACTTGGAGTGCTCAGCAGGGTGACGGACACGGGCTCGGGGCGGGCGGGTGGCCGGCTTCGTACCCGCCCAGAGGGGAAGCCATGGGAGGCTGCATCCCCCTCCTAACTCCCATTAGACGGTGGAGTGAGGCGCCGCGGGGCGCTGGCGGCGGCGGGGCGGGGAGCCGGGGATGTGACTCGGGCCACGCCCCGGCTGGGCGTAAGGCTCCACAGGTGCGCCCCAGACCAGGTGACCCCCTTCCCCCCAGCGGCGGCCGCAGCTCGCCGCGCCCCTCCTCCGCCCCGGCCTGCAGGCCTCGGGCGCCCCGCACCCCCCGCGCTCTCACCGCGGGCTTCGCAGGGCGTCGCGGCCCCGCTCTCGCCCCCGGCGGCGTCAGGCAGCACCCAGGCCAAAACCTGAGGTGCATCTTCCTTCCGCCACCCCCAAACCTGAAAGGTCATCGCTCCGCCTCGACGGCTCCCCGGCCCGCCTGGCCCTGGCTCCCTCCCGGCAAGCGGCCGGACCCCGAGTCTCGTCCGCCGCCAGACCCCCAAGCCGGGGTGGGCAGGAACGGGGTGGGGCCGCGCGTTGCCATGACGACTCCGGGAGACCCCGGGATGCGCCCGCCCACCCCAGGTTCCGGCCCCCGAGGCGACCCGTGCCCTCCCGCCCCAGCCCTGCCCGCGGGCGCCCACGGCGCCCGGGACCCGCAGCCAGGGACTCAACGCCACCCGCGCGGCGCCGGCTCCCTTACCCATGGCGGCGGCGCGGTCTCGGCGGGGTCTCCGGCTCGGGCCACCAGCTCCCTGCAGGCGCGGCGGCCGCCACGGCAGCTGCTCCGGCTCGCGGAGGCCACAGCGCCCCCGGCGGCGGGAGGACCCCGCGCAGCCCTCCCCGGAGAACCCCCGCCCCGCCCCGCCCCAGGCATTTCCAGCCCACCCGGACAGGTGCACGGGGTGCACCGGGCAGGCGACTCGGGGGACAGGGACAGGGTCAGAGAGCAGACTGGATGGGAAGGAGATTGGAGCCACCTCCATGGAGGGGCTGGGTTCCATCAGTGCATCGAAATGCTCGGCTTCGGTCTTCCCAGATGGAGAGCTTTCAGAAAATCCGACAAATTTAACAGTGCATAGAGGTCTGCTCAGAAATTAGATCCAAATCACATTTAAATCTGTAAATACCCTGGTTCACAAGAAGCAATGAGCGATGATCTCAATAATCAAGAGAAAGAGACGCGGAGGGGGGAGGGGGAAAGGCAGTGCTTTCTCATTTCAGGAAGGGGGAAAACAAAACAAAACAATAGTCAGATGACACTCGATTTGAGTTGTATTCATTTGGGGAAAAAAAATTTAAGCTATTTACTTTTTCAGATTTTCAGCTGTTTAGACTGTAATTGGGCTAGAAAAATACCAGTACTTGGGCAGGGCCCTGAGTTCCAACTGGGGGTTGTTGCATTGTTGGACAGTATTTCACAAAAAAGGCAATGTTTTTTCTCTTTATTAGTTTGGCCAGTATCAAGGTCTAGTACTATGCTTTTTGTTTTTAAATTTTTGAGTTAATCATATATGGATAAAAATGCAGTTTCATGCATTGTATACCTGTAAATCTAGGTATTCAGGAGGCTGAGATCTTAAGATTGTGGTTTAAAGCCAACCTAGACAGGAATGTCCATGAGACTCTTATCTCCAATTAACCACCAGAAAGTCAGAAGTAGAGCCATGGCTTAAGCTGTGGCCCAGATGGTAGAGCACTAACCTGGAGCAGAAGAAAACAATACCAAAAACAAACAAAAACCTAAGAGACAGTACCAAAAGTTCAAGCCCCAGTATGGGCACAGAAGATTTACTTATAAAATCAATAGTGGCATAGATCAAGTGTGAAACACAGCCACCCTCTCAGGAAAGGACCCAAACCCCAACCAGTTTTTCCCGAGGTAAACCCTATTCTGTTTTATTCTGTTGGTTTTTTTCTTTGGGGGGGGGGGGTGGGGGGGGGGTTGGTTGGTGGTGGTCTTGAACTCTGGGCCTGGGCGCTGTCCCTGTGCTGTGCTCTTCAGCGGAAGGCCCTGAGTTCAAGACCTGGAACTGGCAAAAACAAAACACAGCAATCTAGATCATAATATATCAAACCACAAACAGTTAATTACTAAAGGATGACGACATCATTTGGGGTTTTTGTTTTTGGTGCCAGTCCTGGGACTTGAACTTGGGGCCTGAGTGCTGTCCCCTGAGCTTTTATGCCCAACGCTAGCACTCTACCACTTTGAGCCATGGCTCCATTGCTGGCTTTTTGGTAATTAACTGGAAATAAGAATCTCATGGATAGCTAGGCGCTGGTGGCTCACGCCTGTAATCCTAGCTACTCAGGAGGCTGAGATCTGAGAATCACAGTTCAAAGCCAGCCCGGGCAGGAAAGTCCATGAGACTCTTATCTCCATTAAACCACTAGAAAACTGGAACTGGTACTGTGGCTCGAGTGGTAGAGTGCTCGCTTTGAGCTGAA